AGATCTACGCAAGGACAGTTGTTCAAGGAGAAAATGATTAGTTCTGTCTTTGTAAGTTTTAATATTGCTTGGTGTTTTGAAACGATATGACAAACTACGAACAAATTTTTTTTGTACTCTTTCTATTCTGTTTATGTGTACTTTGTAGGTAGGAGACCAAACCATGCTGCAATATTCCAACCTACTCCTCACATAGCTGTTATAAAGCAGAATAATAGTGGTTGGTTGTTTAAAACTTTTTGAGTTCCTTAAGATAAAACCCAGTGACTTGTTAGCTTCGGCCACAATTTTATCGATGTGATCAGAAAATCTTAGTTGGCCATCCATGAGAACACCAAGATCTTGTAATGTGGTGACTTCTTGTAGTTTGGTACCGTTTATAAAATAACCTGATTTGAAAGGTCTGTGTTTTCTGGTAAATTTAATATGGTAACATTTTGAAATATTGAGATACATTTTATTATCATTACACCACTTAGTAAGGCTAACAATATCATCCTGAAATTTTTCCATGTCCAAGCTATTTGCAACCGTCTTCACTAATTTAAAGTCATCAGCAAAAAGATAACCTGTACTGTGCTTAATATTATCTGTGATGTCATTTATAAAAACATTGAAAAATAAAGGTCCCAATATAGAGCCTTGGGGTATTCCTGAAGTTGCCGCAAAAGAGTAAGACTGCACACCATTGAACACGACTCTTGAGTAACGACTGTGAAGGTAAGATATACACCACCTGAGTAGGCTGCCAGTTATTCCAAACATATCCAATTTTTTAGCCAAAATTCTATGATTTACTTTATCGAAGGCTTTTGCAAAATCGGTGTAAACTACATCTACCTGAACATTTTGATCAACTGCTTCCTTAAGCTCTGAGATATATAGTGTAAGATTAGTGTTGACTGATCTTCTTGCCATAAATCCATGCTGGTTGAATATTATGTACTTTTGTATGTGAGAATACAAAACAGAATGAACCATTGTTTCGAATAATTTAGACATAGCCGACAGAAGTGATATTGGTCGGTAATTAGATATCACATCTTTCCTTCCATTCTTGTATATTGGTACTATATTAGCTGCCTTCCATTCACTGGGAAAAATCCCGGTTTGCAACGATTGATTGAAAATGATACTCAGCGGGAGAGCCACTGTGTGAGCACACCTCACTAGAAAGAGTGGGTGTATATTGTCTGGTCCTGCTCCCTTTTTAAAGTCAAGCTTCTTAAGTTTTTTAATAACTTCCTGAGGCGTCAGTAGAATATTACTTATTGTGTCATGTGTGTGGACTGTCATTGCAGAAGCATCCAATGATTTGTCACTGTGATCGTCATCCCATTCATACACGGTGGAAAAATGATTGGCAAACATGTCTGAAATCTGATTTGCATCAGAAGATGTGTTATTATTTAGGGTCATGGTATTTGGATATGATGAGCTATTTTTACGCAAACTTTTTATGTGTGACCAGAATTTTTTTGGATTATTTTTCAATTCATCTTCAATATTATTTATATATATATTATAGCATTTTTTTATTAATTTATTACAATCGTCTCTCAAATAATCGTATTCTATTTGATCCAGTGGATTTTTATATTTCTTAAATTTTCTATGGTATTTATTTTTTTGTTTTAGTAGATGTATTAGGTGAGGTGAAAACCAAATAGGATATGAACCATTGCGAATTTTTGTCATAGGAATGTGAGATCTGATGGCGTCACGCAATATATTATAAAATTTTGTCACCATTTCATTAATACAGTTGCAGGAGCCAAATTCATCCCACCAGGATATGGATTTAAGGTACGTGTTAATGGCGTTATAATCACCTTTATAGAAATTACACCTACTAGGTATGTGTATGTTTGGACTTACTTCTCTTATTTTAATATTAACTTCTATTTTCAGAGCCGGGTGATACTTGTCAATATTTCTTACAGGACTTAAACATTCAGAGACATTCAGAATTTCGTCGTTGCATAATAGCAAATCTAATGTTTTATTTTGATAGTTGGTAACGCAATTGTATTGATTAAGGTCGTTAAGTGTTAAAAAGTCTACAAACTTACATAAAAGCTCACGTTCACTGTAATCTGCAGGAACTGCGTAGAGAACATTACTATCGCTGTATTTTGGGTGCCAACCTATACCGCTCATGTTGAAGTCACCGGCAATTATAGTATAATCCCAATCAGTAGATGATTCTAAAATTCTATTGCATTTGTCAACAAATATCTCCAATGTTATATCATTAACTGGTGGTGGTAAGTAAACGGTACATAGCTTAATAGTAATGGGTTTATTCCCCGGTGAACTACAAGTAACTGAGACCCAGAGATCCTCACAGTCACTTTCCCATTCCGAAATTCGCATGGAACTCAGTCGATTGGACACCGCTATCAAAACACCACCCCCTCTTTTTGAGTTGGACATAGAGCAAGTCCCGCGATCTCGCCTGTACACGACATAGCCAATATCAAATATCTCAGAATCAAAACATCCACTACTGAGCCAAGTTTCCGTAAATATATAAATGTCGTAATTATTAATTAAGATTTGTTGACGCACCTCTGCCGCACTAGTATTTAGTCCTCGCACATTTTGATAATAGATTTTAAAGTTTTCAGATGACATACAGATGCACAATAGAACAGTAAAAAATTATAAATTATTAGATAAAATAAAAGATGTATGTAATTACAGTAATTAATAAATTAACAATATCAAAACAAATAAAAGTAAATTATTATATAAAAATCGATGAAGTCGTATGACTATGCAATTATTTACTGAAAACTATGATATAACAATACACTACAGTTAGAAATTAAAACAATGATCAGTTCAGCTGGGACAAATCCTCAATACTCTTGATTAATATATATTCAGATGTTTCTGACTTACGCATGAAAACTCTTCCGTCTTTAACCCACACAAATTTATAATTCAGTTCTTTAGCCCTGTTACGTGCAGCTGCGTGAATAGCTTTTTGCGTAGGTGAGAGATGCTCCACTACAAAGATTGGATTTCTATCACCACCTATGCCAATGTGCCCTGTGTTCAATTTTTCACTGAAATTATTTGCTTTTTTATTGAAGGCAATTGAGGCTGCGAAAAAGCTGTCTCGTATTCTTGGTGATGCAAACTTTAAGATGACCGACCTAGGGCGCCGGCTATTTTTGTTTAGTTTAGCAACTCTTGTACATAGATGAATATCCGATTCATTCAATTTACAGTTTGTAGTGTTAGCAATTTGCTTTACAACTGTAAATAGGTTTTCTGTCTTATGTTCGGGTATGTTTTGTAATTCTAAATTACTAGCCCTTGAATGCTGTTCAATACGCGTAATTCTGGAATTAAGATCCAATACTGTATTCCTCAGGGTTGTATTTTCAGATTCTAAGTCATTAATTCTTGAAGTATTAGAATTCACATCAAATTTTATAGCCTCCTGTTGGTTTTGAATTATAGTCAATGAATCCGAGATCCGACCAAAACTATCAAGTAATTCATTGGTTTTTAGCTCAAACTGTTCAATAATGTTTCTTTTAAAACTATCCAAAATGTTGCTTAGTTCCTCTCTAACTATTTCACGAATGCTGTCAATTGCTACCTCGGACGAGGAATGTGGTACTACCATTTGCCCACCCCGTCTCGTATTTACATTTAACAGACATTCATTTCCTTGTTGGTGTGCATTAGATCTTATTGGTGTATTTGTATTGTCTGATTTGGGCAGTCTGCTAGAGCAGCCCGGGCACATCCATTTTGTTTTGAAATCTTCAGAGATATCCTTTATATTTTTGTTAATATTCACACATGATAAATGGTACTTGAGCTTGCAATACTGACAGCTTAGAATATTAGGTGAAGACGTCAGTCGATCGCAACACCCGAGTTTTATTTTTGACTGAGACATAATAATATGTTTGTTATTATGAACGATGAATGTTATTGTTAGTCTTTAGGCACAATCGTTCATCAAGAACACGCAATATTTTGAAGAACAATGAAAAAAATTAAATGAGCTGTGCCGAGGCTTGAACCACGGACGACAATGCCATGTATTCCAATCAATGGTGTACTTGCGGAATGTTCCAACAAGCTTATAGAATAACTTGTCGAATTTGTGTGTCTATATTGATTACAATGTTTTTGAATTGTTTAACGTTAATACTTTCACTTTTAACACTTCTTACTACCGTCACTTAAGTAATAAAAGTACATACCAAGTTTTAATTGTAAAATTCCTTTTTATTTTATTGATCAGGTTTATTTTTTGTCAGTTTTTAACACAATTACAGTAAAATGGGTCCACACATAAATATAAATTACTTTCACAGGTTTCAATCACTAATTAGTTTGAGTTTTTATGCATATAATATTGAGACTTGTCACTTCGTTAAAAGTTAATTTTAAATAAGTCCAAGGCTTAGATAACACTGTCACTAAGAATTTAGACTACTTTCTATAATTTTGACTAGTTGTAATTGGTCTTGACGATGTATATGATATTGAGATTATAAGTACCTATGCAATAACTATGATTCACCAAACTAGAATTATGTCACTATCTGAAAGAGAATTATGCAAATGTTGTTGCAGAACTAAATTGGTGGTAAATATCCTGAGATGAATGCAGGCAATTCTTATTGGAAATGTTCCTACGCCCATTACTTTCCAAATTAACAATAAAATAGGGTTGCCAAGTTTAAAAAACTAGGATAGAAAGTTCAAAAAACAAGGACAGTTGAAAACAGAATGCAGTATCACGCAGTGTTGTTTAATATGTAGTAAAAATCAAATAATTGATATAATCACGTTTTTGATAAAAGGTATTTAAGTGGCACGCATGTTTTAAAAACCCAGAACGCTGTCAAATAAGTATTCAGGACTTCTCAGGATACTTCAAAAACTAGGATATGTCCTGGGAAAACAGGACGGTTGGCAACTCTACAATAAAACGTCAGACAACTTTAGGATGTAATGATAAAAATTATTGGCTATTTTTAGGCTTAGTATTTTATCCATGTTTGTATTATATTACACTCAATTTTGCTCTTGACAAACACAATACATTTACATATGACCACGATAATTTTTGCCAGCGTACTTGGACAGAGCTCCCAATTCCTCTTCTATTCGTAGTATCTGATTATATTTTCCAATACGTTCACAGCGCGCTGGGCCTCCGCACTTTAGCTGACCGGCTGATAGCCCGACCACCAGATCCGACAGAAACAGATCCTCAGTATCACCCCAACGATCGCAAACAACTACACCAAAGCCATTCGCTTTAATCAATTTGAACGCTTCAATAATTTCAGTCAAAGTACCCGCCTGATTCAGTCGCAAAGCGATCGAGTTGCCAGACTTTTTCTCTACAGCCAATCCAACTCGCCGCAAATTAGTCTGTGTTAAATCGTTACCAAATATTTGGCCTGCCGCACGTCCAGTCAAATTGGACCAGGCTGCCCAATCGTCAAATTTAAAGGCATCCTCTATAGAACACACGGGGAACTCCTTCATATTGTCTAAATATACCTCGGCAAGTTTATCAGACGACATGTATTCCTGAGGGTTTGAATTAGGATTTTTAAATTCCAAATCGTAAGCGCCATCCTTGAACATATCAGTTGCAGCAGCATTTATACCAATTTCAGCTTTATTATTATAACCGCACTGCTTAATTGCGTCTGTTAAGAATAAAAGTGCGTCCCTATGACTTTCCAGAGGTATCGCAAATCCGCCGGAGTCACTTACGTAAGTAGACTCAACATTATACTTATGTGCTATAACTTTTTTGACGTACCGATATATATCAGTGCCAATACGCATAGCTTCTGCGAAAGATGACGCACCCGTGGGCATGATTGTATATTCTTGAAATGGCAAACCATTCGAAGCCAGAATACCGCCCGTTAAAATAGTAAAATGAGGCACTGGTAATATGATGCTTGTGATGCCGGCCATGTCTGATATATGCCTGTATAATGGAACACCCTTCTTGGCGGCTCCTGCTTTGGCCACGACAAGAGATACACACATTATTGCATTGGCTCCAAGTCGAGTTCGAGTTTCAGTACCGTCGAGGGCAACCATGAACTGGTCAATTTCTTTTTGCATGGTGACTTCAAGATTTTGCTTTATCAGTTCCGGGGCAATTATGGTGTTTATATTTTTCACAGCACTCATAACGCCCATGCCATGATATTCTGATGGGTTGTTGTCCCGTAATTGCACCGCTTCTGCTACTTTCTTGAAGTCAGTTGAAGGTACTCCCACACGAAACAAACCAAGTTCAGTCACCATGTCTACTTCTACAGTAGGTACGCCTGTAGAGTCGAATATTTGTCGAGCTAACAATATTTTAATAGGCATGTTCTTTCATTCAAAGGTTTATATTGTAATAAAGATTAAATTTCCATTGAATACCTCTATATAAAAGGTATATTTTAATTTCAACTCAAAATATATTGATTAACAACTATTTGAAAGGTAAAAGAGTTGTTTGTAACATTCAGTAGAAAAGGTCTTCATTAAAAAGTTTCAATAGGAAAAAAATAATTCGTTTGGAACTTTTACTTCATCTATGACTACATCATTTAATATGAATATTGTTTTCGAAGTATAGTTATTCCTAACCTAATAACCTACTTTCAGGCATTAAAAATTGGAATTTGAACACTGGCTGCTTTCATATGAAAATCAATTTCAGTTTTAGCTTGATTGGTTGCTGCTCAATATATTTTTTAAATCGTTCAGTGATTTGGATTTTAAACTAAAATAAACATATAATTCAGTGATGCTTATGTACACTGAAATACCTAGTTCCAATGAGTTGCACAGTTTCAGCAAAATTAGGCTTATTGAAGTAGATTTTTTGAGGTAAATACCAAATATTGTATTATTATTGTACGTTCTATTTACACCTCATTATTCTGTCACATATTTTTCTTTCAATGGATATTCTTTTTAAAGACTAATTAAATTCTGAACATAATCCTATTCTAAGCATTACAAACAAAAGCAATGTGGAAACTTGCAACACAGTTGCACGTGCGCGACAATCTGTATGTAGATCCTACATTACACTTTGATATCGAGTTTTTTATTAATTGAAAAAAAGATTATGCGGCGCTTAGTGTGTTCTTTTTATCGAATCACCCCACTATTATAACGATAATGTGAAGCACATATTACGAGATAGCAAAATAATTGACTCTTGTCGTGGAGTGGCTAAAACAATTATGTATTAAACCATAAATTGTAGATATAAAATATAAAAACTATATTTAATAAGATGTTGTGAATTAAATGTTAATGGATCACTTGATGAAAAAATATCAATTAGATAAGTATTTTATATCTAGGTATATTTTAATCAAACTAGTATAAATAGAGTAGGTAATTACGCACAATAAATAGTAGTAGTTTAACAAAGAAAAAACCAAACTAGATGTTAACAACTCACGCTTCTAGGGACTGTATAAATATTTTATTTTTTAGCTTTAGTTTGAAGTGAAACTACGGTCGTGTTGTAAAAGATATATATTTCAAATTGCCAAAAAAATGGAACGATACAAAATATTTAAAATATATATATGTAAATATAATTATCATATAAAAAAGTTCATTATGCACCATAGTATTCAGAAAAATAATAAAAGTAAATATGACTTCCAACGGTTTCTTAAAATGTATTTTTTTTTATTTCTCTATTTGACTTTTGTTGCACAGTTTCACCTATATCATAGATACTATAACATTTGGGTTTCGTGGCACAGGTTCACCTATATCCAAAGCCTTGTATTTATTTGCCTGTGCCTATATCATTAATTAATTAACATAGTATAAAACAAAGTCGCTGTTGCTGTAGCTGTCGCTGTCTGTCCTTCTGTGTTTAAATCTTTAAAACTACGCAACGGATTTCTAAGCGGTTTTTTTAATAGAAAGTTTTTAATAGAATGTGATTCAAGAGGAAGGTTTATATATATAATACATGTATAAGCCGGGGTGAGTAGCTAGTTTATAAATAAAGAATACTATTATCGTTATTGTCTCATTAACAAAGCTTTTGTTGATTTTTTACGCTTTATAGTGTATACCACACTTATCTATACATATAAATAAAATTGGAGTGTCTATTTGTAACATTGAAATACACTGGTTTTTACTACATGCATATGAATATAAATACGGTACATACACCAAAATAACATTTATTACAATTTTAGTCTGTCTGTCTGTCTGTGTGTTTGTTCCGGCTAATCTCTGAAATGGCTGGACCGATTTTGACGGGACTTTTATTTGCAGGTAGCTGATGTAATAAGGAGTAACTTAGGCTACTTTTATTGTAGAAAAATCTCCACGCGGACGAAGTCGCTGGTACAGCTAGTTATTAATAGTATTCCAACCTCACACGACTTAACCAAAACGAGGATAGTAATAGAATGTTAATTGAAAGAAATATTAATTAAATTGAATTAAATGACATTATCTAGTATTGTAAGTAATTTTCAACTGTTCAAATACAGCAAGTTTACAAAAGGGGTGTTTAGAACTTAATAGTTTCCTAATAAACTCCGATCCGCCCGCCTCCCTATTTATAAGGGGTGATTTCTCAATTTGCTATGGTGTGATTCGCAAATAAGCGGCACTCCAAACCCTTGTTTACACTTTTAGCTGCACTTAAGTGAACACAAGTGCAACGTGCACTTTACTAGAAAACTCTATACAGTTAAATATTTAAATAATTTATGTTAATGTAATTTTTTTCTTTGGACTATTAAAACAGCGACATCTAGTCCCACGATAAGTTATCTATCTATCTATATATATCTTGTGTTATAACGTGTCCCAATTAGGCTCCGCCCCTATCCAACATTATCCGAAACCTTTATTTCGGATTCGGTTACGGTTACGAATATTTTTTTTATATCGGATATCCGATAGTTTCGGTTACGGTTACGGATCATGGATGCATTTTTTTTAATAATACATAAATACATATATTATACATAGAAAACACCCAGACCGATAGAAACAATCATACTCATGAATATAAATGTTTGTACCTCGGACAAAGAATTAGTACAGCTATTCAAAGGGGGAACGCTGCCAGCGAACAGTCCAGCGAACAGTCCATTTCAGAGATTAGCCGGAACAAACAGACAGACAGACAGAGATCAACACACAAGTTTCTTGCTCATTTTTCATGCGTTCCGATTGAGTGGTAGAATCAAAATATGACTATTCAAAATTTTAATAAAGATTATTTCTATTTCTATTTCTACAGAGATAAAACTTGTAAAAAATATTATTTTGGTGTATTTATATTCACACGCATGTAGTAAAAAACGGTTATTTCAATATTACAAACAGTCACTCCAATTTTATTTGAATGTATATATGAGGAATACACGTGTGATAGAATCAATAATTGCACCCGTTAAATTAAATGACATTTGTGCGGAGATCCCACGGGATACGATGGTACGACACGCAATGTTGTGGGAACTAGGAAATGATGGCACCTGGACCACGGGAGCGAGCGAGCGAGATAACGTGGTAGGGGGGATAACGAACCATTATCGCACGCAACATTTTAATTGTATTACAGATCGAATATTATTAAATTAAATTGTGATTGGTAATTATTAGAACTTATTGAATTAAATTAATTATAAAGTTACGTATGATATTTTCCTTAATGACATCTATACATATAAATAAAATTGGAGTCTCTGTTTCTAATATTGAAATAACCGTTTTTTACTACATGCATATGAATATAAATACGGTACTTACGCCAAAATATCATTTTTTACCATTTTTGTCAGTTGTGCCGGCTAATCTCTGAAATGGCTTGACCGATTTTCACGGGACTTTTATTGGTAGGTAGCTGATGTAATAAGGAGTAACTTAGGCTACTTTTATTTCAGAGGAGTATAGATTATTTTGTAATATATAAGGAATTCGTTTTCAGGCCACTTTTTAGTTGCTATATATATATATATAAATGTAAATATATATTTACCGCAGAATTGCACAATCGATAGGTAGATTTTACAGTCGCATTACAATATGTAAATTGTATGCCACATATGTATCTATATATATATATATATATATATGCCTGCATACAACTTTAATATTTAATATTTTTTATATTTGAGTATTTAATTGAATTAGTGCTAATTGGTGGTTTGTATTCACACACTTCAACTTAAAAATGTAAAGTAACAATAAAATTATTTAAAAGAGCAACACGCAAGTTTGTTTCTCGTTCTTCTTGTGATGAGACAGCATTCCGAATGAGCGGTAGATTAAAAAAAATGTGATGACTATTTAAATGTGCTTCACTGTAAGTTTATTTGAATAAATGATTTTCTAATCTATTCTATATCTAGAGACGGCTACTGCAACTAGAGACGACCATTGATGTAATACTGGACAGTTTTTAATTAACTAGTACAATAGTAATATGGATGGTTATAAATGACAAACGTGTATAGCAATAGTTATTAATGCGCGGGAATTTCATTGAATATTAGACATAAAACATAATGTAAATAAAATGGCTTTAAAAAAAATAAATTCAGTCGAATCTCTTGCCAGTTCTTCTTAATTGGATCTGTATACTGCACTAGGGAAAAAATATTATCTACAAGAAATTGAGTTTTTGCCAGTTCTTCTCGATTGAATCTGTATATCTGGACGGTAGGGAAAAATATTATCTATCAAAAAACCTGACCTTCAAAACTTCTAAAATGTCCTACTTAATAGTTGAATAATTGATTTTAGACTTGATTTGATATAATAAAGTATTTATTTATCTGGATATTTCGATATCCGTCACGCATGACTTCCTATCACCTGAAGTCGTAGTGCTCATTAAACCATGGTGAGCAATTCAGCTGCACTTTGGTACCTTAACAACCGCATTATCGATCTACAAAAGGTGCACAAACAATTTGATAGCGCGTCAAGGATGCCAACCGTACGAGGATCCTCTTATAAATACTAAATTTTTACTTTTTTTTTTTTGGGGTGTGGAATATCTATATATTACTAGCTGTCCCGGCAAACGTTGTTTTGCCATATAAATTAATAACGCTATTTAAAAAAAGGGGTTGATGATAGAAGGGTGAAAATTTAGGATTGTATGTATTTTTGTATGTTGTATCATAAACTAAAAATTTTGTCTATAAAATAAAAAAAAAATTAGGGGTGGACTACCCCTAACATTTAGGGGGATGAATGAATGAAATGTTGGCTGATTCTCAGACCTACTCAATACGCTCACAAAATTTCATGAGAATAGGTCAAGCCGTTTCGGAGGAGTATGGGAACGAAAACTGTGACACGAGAATTTTATACATAAGATAAGCTTGACCTATTTTGTCACTGCTTCCTATTGTCCCTTTCGGTTTCCCTTCCTGGCCCTAATTAGTAGTGTTTCTTTGTAATATACTCTTATAATATACAATATATATATATATATATCATACAATTCCCTGGTTTCCTTTATCGTCCACAGGCGGGTTTGGACTATTGTTAGGTGCTAAGACCTGTAACACTGCGACCTGTATAGGTCTATTGTGCTTGCCCTTATTCAAAGTTCGCTATCTAGACCCGTGAGGGAATGAATTGAAGGACATTCTTAGGATATTATTTCTTTTTATCTCCTCAGGATATAGTGTATACTTTCCAAAGGAGATATTTTGTTTAAGTGTGAGTGAGTGGGCTACAACCACATGTACGTGGAATTTAACTTTATTTTCTAAAATAAAAGTAGCCTAAATTACTTTTTATTACATCAGCTACCTGCCAATAAAAGTCCCGTAAAAATCGGTCCAGCTAGTTTCAGAGATTAGCCGGAACAAACAGACAGTCAGACAAAAATTGTAAAAAATGTTATTTTGGTGTATGAACCGTATTTATATTTATATGTATGTAGTAAAAAACGGTTATTTCCTTCGGTAGATACAAAAACATAAAGATAATACATTTGTATTTTGTTTTAATATACCTACTTACTATTAGTTTTTAGATACACGCTTATTCATCTTTTATAAAATTAATCCTGTACTAAATGGGACGTAATGATTTATAGTAGGTATGACAACAAAATCATGGACTATAAAGTAACGTTATTTACAAAGACACTCCAATTTTATTTATATGCATAGATGATTTGTTTCGTTTAATGTTTTAAGGTTGGCAACCCTGGGTGATGTTTATACACCGCGGCGCCGCCTATACCGTGACAATACGAACTATTAGGGTTGTCGTCTTTGCATGCACTATTGATGGCTATGGCAAAATTGAATGCTAATAGCCATTTATTGCCGCCAAAAAAAACCATAACATACCATAAGTCTTATACCTGCGATTTGCGTCTAATATTTTGCATTAATAAACACATATTTTTAATATATTGCAGTAATAAACATACAGTTTATTATTGTTTTACAACTACTTATTATCGTGTATTTATTAATTTAAAAATAACATCTATTCAAAAGAGTAACCACAAGTTTCTTGCTCATTCTTCTTGTAATGAGTCTGCGTTACGAATGAGTGGTAGAATAAAAATATGACTATTCAAAAGTGTGTTTTGTTCACATTAGCAATAAAAATTCACACATTATAATATGCACTGTTACAGAGTTATAATAGTAAGTACTTTACAATAGTAAATCTCATATGTTTGTAAAAAGTAACTAAATTCTAATAAATTTTAAGAATTTCTGCTTGTAAATAGCCCTTTATTTAGGTACTAAGTTCGTTAAAAGCTTCCTATAATAGCTACTTTTGAACGTTAATTTACATACACAATACAGAATATGTTGATTTTTAAGGAACAGCGCTTGTGACTTTGTACCCTTCGACCTTCGTGGTATTCAGAAAATAATTCTTTATAACTATTTTGTTTATACACCAATTTTAAGAAAACAAATACAAAATTGTAAGTGTAGCTTACTACAATACGCAAGTGAAAATCGCACATCGCAAATCAAATTCAGTTATATTTTTTCTGAGATTACCCCGCAATTAACACACGACAAACAGCCAAAACCAAAAACTCTAATAATCTTCTGATTGATAAAATGCACAAAACTTGTGTACTTATGTACCATGTAAAGCAGAAATTCCTAATTTTTTTTTATGTCGTAAACCCTTTGCCATATTTTTCGGTTTTGGGTAGACCCCCCATTTTTACCTGGTATTATTTTTTGTAAATTTCTAACTGTAGTAAAGTATAGTGATAAAAAACATAAAGTAAAAACAAGATGATCGCTGTTGTAGACCTCTTACAGTTTGGGAGAGACCCCTAGCGGTCGATATAGACCACTTTGGGAATCACTGCTGTAAAGTTTCAGTTACTTGTCAATTATATGTATTTAAAATACAGATACTTTTTATTTGCAATAAGAATCATGTTAAGGGAGAAAATCCACTATACATATATACCTACATGTAAAAGAATATAGGTATGATAATTTGGTAGTGTTTTTTATACTTACACTGTGTATGATTTTCTAGATTTTACTATATAATATATAATAGTTCTGATTGATAATCGATCAATCAGAACTGGCGTATTATCACGTAAATTGCACACAACACTAATCAAATCGATGTCCTATTATATCCTAACTTACATGCACTTTTAGGGGGTTACAAAATAATTGTAACAACTTAACCACTTTCTGTATGCATGCACTTAATATTTTATTGATAATGCAAATATTAAATAAAAAAGAATTAAAAAGAAATTGTTAACTCACCTCTAATGATCACTTTCTTTTGTTCTTCCTTATTTTGTGAATTACTGACTCCTGACAGCAGAGTGTCTGAAGAATTTCTATCAGCACGGACCTGTACATGAAGCATTGAGAAAATAATAAAATAATACTAGCTTACCCCGCAAACGTTGTTTTGTTACATAAATTAAAAACGCTATTAAAAAATAGGGGTTGATGATAGAAGCGTAAAAATTTAGGGATGTTGGGGAATTTTTTAATGCCACATTATAAGAAAAAATAAAAAATGTCCAAAAAATAAAAAGAAAGAATGTTAGTCGTGGACATCCCTTATCACTTAGGTGCATGAAAAATAAATAGTAGCCGATTCTCAGACCTACTGAATATGCATATAAAATTCGGAGGACCATAGTAACTAATATTGTGACACGAGAATTTTGTATATACATAATATTACTTCTTACAAATAATATTGAGCTATTTAGACTTCAAGGTTCCTAAAAACTTTTCTCCGTGGGTGGGATACCCATTTAAGATGCCAAGTAGCTCATTTTTAAGCTATGTTTTGGTCGCATGTACAGCTGAGTGATGTTCATGTATGCGACGGTTACCACTTGCAATTAGCTGGACCATCAGCTTGGATTTCAATAAAATTATATTTAAAAAATGTATTATTCATTTAACATAACCGTTCCTTTGCTAAATCGTACGGAAATGTGACAACTGTGGTTTAATCTTCATATAAATGGAATTTCATATGATAGTGAAGAAAATAAATCGTTACTAATGTTATAAATGCGAAAGTAACTCTGTCTGTCTGTCTGTCTCGCTTTCACACCAAAACAACAGAACCGATTTATATGAAATTTGATACACACAGATAGTCTAGACCCTGAGAATGGACATAGGCTACTTTTGAATGCGAAAAAAGGGTTGTAAGAGGTTGAAAGTGGGGATGAAAGATAGTATGGAAGAATCGTAATTTTTGAAGCTAAAAGCTTGAAACTTATTTTTGAGACTGTTAATTAAATATAAATAAATATGACATTCAAAGTTTTTATAAAATTACCCTTAAGGAGGATGAAAGTTAGTAGATAATAAAATGGATGAAAGTTTTTACATCCGAATAACATATCTTATATATAAAATTCTCGTGTCACAGTTTTCGTTCCCATACTCCTCCAAAACGGCTTGACCGATTCTCATGAAATTTTCTGAGCGTATTGAGTAGGTCTGAGAATCGGCCAACATCTATTTTTCATCCCCCTAAATGCTAGGGGTAGTCCAGCCCTAATTTTTATTTTTATTTTAAGGCAAAACAACGTTTGCCGGGATAGCTAGTAGACTATAAATGTTTTAAAAAATATTATGTAAATTGGGAGACTTCTAATTATAAGTATGATGCAGACGAAGTCGCACGGGTTAGCTAGTAAGAAATAAGTATGATATGAAGAAAATAAACTGATTGACTTGATTGACTGACTGGGGCTGATTCTTCGATGATAAGTTGTGTGGGTGGTAAATTCGAACTTCGCAGATGAATGCACAACTCATCATTAATTTATCCTCACCATACACTTTTTTTTTAAATATAGCTCTAGCTGACCTTTTTTTTAGAGGATGATAATGGAATAGTGCTCCCGCCTACACTAACGGTTTACGCTGGCGTGGCACCAGTGGAGGATGATAATCTTATCAATGAGCGTGAGGTCAGATCAGTTAGCTCATCGTGACAAATTCATCAAGAATTTATCACGATGGTTTCCGGGGGAACCGCGTGGAGGTCGACGTGGCATGGTACGTTGCTGGCAGTGGGATCGTTAGTTCACATTATTAACAATCCACTTCCCCCTGTCCAGCTGGCCTTTGGTTTTGTGGATTTGATTTGGTGGATGAAAATGTGGATGAAAGTGGCGAGTGCCACTCACACTCTCACATTCACCAAGAATTAATGATGATGGTTTACAGGGGGAACCGCGTGGAGCTTAACCTAACATGGTACATTGCTAGCAATTTACTAACAATCCCCTTTCCCCCCAGAGAGTGTGAGTGGCACTCGCCACTTTCATCCACATTTTCATCCACCAAATCAAATCCACAAAACCAAAGGCCAGCTGGACAGGGGGAAGTGGATTGTTAATAATGTGAACTAACGATCCCACTGCCAGCAACGTACCATGCCACGTCGACCTCCACGCGGTTCCCCCGGAAACCATCGTGATAAATTCTTGATGAATTTGTCACGATGGGCTAAATGATCTGACCTCACGCTCATCTTATCATCCTCCACTGGTGCCACGCCAGCGTAAACCGTTAGTGTAGGCGGGTGCGGGTTTCATCCACCAAATCAAATACACAAAAAGTTGATATACAGCCCGGAGAGGGGACTTTATATCAACTTTTATATAAATATGTTGAATAGATTTCTTCTGGGTAAGCACGCTACATCCTATGTCTTGCCATCATTTACCATCACATGAGATAAGACCAAGCGCAATCCCATTACTAATAAAAAAAAATGTTTAATAACAATTTTACTCACCAATTCACCAAGAAAACTGATATATCCTATAGCCAACTTCAAAGTATCGACTTTGGAGAGGCGTTTTTCATATGGTAAAGTAGGTATGTGGGCGCGTAGTCCTTCGAAAGCATCGTTGATGGATTGCATTCGACGACGTTCACGCAAGTTGGCTGCTTGCCGTTGTTGGATTTGCTGTTGAGGACAACGGGACCGGCGCTTGTGGAGTCGACGGCAATCAGATCTGTGAAGCAAAAGTTTATCAACATCTTCACAGTCCCGAAAGTTATACTATCTTATTATTATTATTAAACGCGAAAGTTTGTAAGTATGGATGGATGTTTGTTACTCTTTCACGCGAACACTACTGAACAAATTTTAATGAAATTTTACAGTAATATAGTTTATATATCAGAATAACACACAGGCTATAATTAATACGCCGCCACAACTAGTACAAGATAAAATTGAAGTGCCTGTTTGGAATTTAATATTCACAGCTTTTCACTTATGAAACAATGTATGTACATGATGATGATTTTTTTTTAATTTTCTGAGTCTGTTATCTCTGAAACGGCTTGCCTAATTTTGATGGGACTTTAACTCGCAGATAGCTAATTCTAACATATTTCTTATAATCAATCCTGCAACTGTGTATAAGTAAAAACTCGAATGAAAAATAAATTATTAAACTTTTTTGTAAAGAAATATTAGGGCATATTTTGTGGCATAAGATACTTACCTGGTTTCATAAAAATGTGTTTATGTGAATACATATACGTATATTATAAAATAGTGTTAATCACTTTTGTCGCAGACAAGCTGCTGAGCAGTTTTGCGGCTTGCCGATTACCTATATTTTGTTATTGTAGAAAAATGTGTGTAAATATATAAATAAAATAAAAATATTGACGTTACAAATAGTAAATAAAGAATAACAATAATTAACTCGCATTTGCGTTATTGCTTTGCACCACGCTTTAATATTAAGTAGACAAATATTAATATTTTGTAATAAAAACGTGGAATAACGCTAATCGCAAAATTTCGTTGAATATTTTCTTGCGTGAACCACAGATAAAATAATATCATATCTATGATTCAAGTAAGAAAATTCAAGACATATAGGAAGAATTTAATACATATATAGAATAAGGATTACAACTAAAATAAATGTACCGTTTTCTCGGCGTGGACAAATTTTCTTGATCACTCGCATACAAGCTACCATCAGACATCGAAGAATCGTCGTAGAGGAACATGTCCGAGCTGTTCGCCGAGGACGATGGAGATCCGCTCAGTGGTAATGATGCTGCCACACTATCAAGAATTGGACACCTAACCCCACTACCTTCCATATTAAACATTTTCCTAAACGAATATAGTTATATCGCGCCAGGAATATTTCATCATAAACTGCACTTAGAGAAAATCTTTTATAATATTGCTACAGTACCCGATGACAGTCTAACAAGTAGTGAGCCTCTAGGGATTGCTGGAGGGTGAGTGCAGAGTGCGAACGCCGCAGCCCCGCCCTATTCTGCCTATCCGCCCACTAACATACCAACCAGTTAAGACTGACACCCGATACTAAACATTTCGCCCCTATACACTTTCATTACGTTACTAACACTGAATAGAATAGATCAAGCGATATCTCACACGTATTAATTGCAGAATATGTGAAAGTAGACTTTGTTCGAACGTAATAAAAAGCATTTGCTGTTTTGCTATTTAAAATAGTGTAGACATCACATTCTTAGATTCTGCAAATGCTGTAAAAGCATTTTAATGCAATGAGGACCACCATGATAGTCTCTGCACCAGGGACGAATTTGCCAATAATTTTCTATCAGCCAGACCTTAGAAGAAACTTGTTGTACTAAGAAATCTTATGAACGTCAAAAGCGGTTCAATGTATTTTGAAAAGTAAAAACTGTAAAAACAAAATAACTTAAAATATAATACCGATCTACTTCATTATTTTATTGCTAATTAGGAATATGTGTACATTTAGAAATATATATTAAATAAAATAAATCAATCAAAATGAACAAAAAACTTATGAGTAGGGGAAGTTTCTACTTTTGATTTCACTACTAACTTAGATTAGATCTTGGTTCACAAATATTTATTTAAGGTTGATAGATTTTAGAATAAACTCTTGTATAATATATAGCTGATAATTTTTGTTGTATTACTCTGAACACTTACTTTGTGAGTTTTCAAAAAATACGAAATACGTTTTTATGTGTGGGCAAGGAAACCAGGGAATTGTCTTAAGATGTTTATATTATACAAATAAACACTACTGACTAGGGCCAGGAAGGAAAACTGAAAGGGAACAATATAAATCAATGACAATTTACAATACGATTCGGTATTTTATAATCACGTCATAAGTGGCCTATATTCCACATCATCTAACGTGTTTGAGAATTTAAAATTTTGTGTATTTTCCTTTCTTCAGCAATTTTGTGATTAAATTTATGTCAAAAAATAATTACTTGTAAAGTATCTAAAGAGTCATATTATAATAAGTAAAAATATACGGGATCTCGAGAATATCGGGAACTCAATAAATATAAAACGTGATAATATCCCGTGATTTTTACTAATTATACTAACTGTCCCCGAGATCTCGTCAGCGTGGAATTTGACTTTATTTTAAAAAATAAAAGTAGCCTAAATTACTTCTTTTTACATCAGCTACCTGCCAATAAAAGTCCCGTCAAAATCGGTCCAGCCATTTCAAACATTAGCCGGAACAAACTGACAGACAGACAAAAATTGTAAAAAATGTTATTTTCATGTATGTACCGTATTTATATTCATATGCAAGTAGAAAAACAGTTCTTTCAATATTAATATGATTTATTTATTTCTCCTCACAAACATGATGGCAACATTACATGTAGTATTCTTTATAGTAAAGTATTACAAACAGACACTCTTTTTTTGTTTATATGTATAGATATATAAGTTATTTGGAATTTCAGGCGACGTGTGGTAACAATAGCAAAGTTAAGGGGATGGGCGGTATGTAGGTAGGTAAAGAGGCTACGTTTCATAAAAGCTTTGACGTGGTCTAGTGTTTTGAGTAGTCATGCTCACTAAAATGTCCAGACTTGTGGCGGCGTGGTGGGCCGGGTCATTGGGCTCCCTAAAATATGGTCGAGCGCAGTGATGGCTGGCTCATCCGTCATACTCGTGAACGGGTGCTGCTTGTAGGGACTGGTCTGCTCTAATCACTATGACTGATTTCCTCTTATTAATTGTTTAACCAGTTGGTTATGTATTCAATATTTTTTCTTTTTTGAGTATTTAATTGAATTAGTGCTAATTGGTGGTTTGTATTCACACATTTATACTTAAAAATGTAAAGTAATAATAAAATTATTTAAAAGAGCAACACGCAAGTTTCTTGCTCGTTCTTCTTGTGATGAGACAGCTTTCCGAACGAGCGGTAGATTTAAAAAAATGTAATGACTATTCAAAAGTGCTTCAATGTAAGTTTATTTGAATAAATGATTTTCTATTCTATTCTATTCTAAAACTGAATACACTTGATACATACTCGTAATACGTAAGACGATAAGAACTCAGCAATTCTTATCGTATTGCGTATTATATATCCAACCACCTAGGCGCGACACATTATCAGCAGTCTGCAGCGGCCACACACGATTTATAAAAATCGGCATTCCGAAGTAATCTTTAATTAGTTAGGTACTTTATTTAATGTTAGGTCAATCAGTTTTGAAATAATCAATAATTTAACATCATTATTACATAGTATAAAATAAAGTCGTTGTCGCTGTCTGTCTCTATGTATGCTTTGCAACACACAACATGCAATACACAAGTTTCTTGCTCATTTTTCTTGTAATGAATCTGCATTCCGAATGAGTGGTAGAATCAAAATATGACTATTCAAAAGTACTTGTAATGAGTTTATTTGAATAAAGATTGTTTCTATTTCCATTACTTAAATCTTTAAAACTACGTAACGGATTTTATAGGATTCTAGAGGAAGGTTTATATACATATATAATACATGTACACCCGTGCGAAGCCGGGGCGAGTAGCTAGTAATGAATAATTTAACAATTACATTATTACAAAGTATAAAATAAAGTTGCTGTCGCTGTCGCTGTCTCTCTCTATGTATGCTTAAATCTTTAAAACCATGCAACGGATTTTGAAGCGTTATTTTTAATAGATTGAGTGATTCTAGAGGAAGGTTTAAATATATTAGGTTGTTCGGAAAGTAATTTCGTTTTTTCCTAACTTAGAATTTAATTGTAGTTTTTGCACTCAACTTCACACTTAAGCCGTAGTAGTTTTTGGTAGGTGCCCTTTTAAATATGGAGAGCCATAAGCAGCACTCTCCATATTTAAAAGGGCACCAACAAAAAACTACTGCGTAGAATTAATTGAAATTTTTCACAAACAAGCCTTGCTATATGAGCTCTCATAGCATACAAAAATTATACGGCTTAAGTGTGAAGTTGAAAGCAAAAAATACAATTAAATCCTAAGTTATAAAATATTATGTAAAAATATTTTATATATTAATAGTAATTAATTAATATTTTATATATTAAATAGTAATTTCATTTTACATTATATTTAAATATAATGTAAAATGAAATTACTTTCTGAACAACCTAATATAATACATCTACACCCATGCGAAGCCGGGGCGAGTAGCTAGTAATGAATAATTTAACAATTACATTATTACAAAGTACAAAATAAAATCGCTGTCGCTGTCTGTCTCTATGTATGCTTAAATCTTTAAAACCATGCAACGGATTTTGAAGCGTTATTTTTAATAGATTGAGTGATTCTAGAGGAAGGTTTATATATATAATACATGTACAATTGTACACCCGTGCCGGGGCGAGTAGCTAGTTATTTATATAAAGAAAGCTCCCATACAGAGTACAATTAACGCTGTCTACATACCCTTCCTAAAAAGGATAGAAAACTTTTTCTTCATAATAAGCTTACATTATAAAAGACTTGCATCCGTTGCAACCACATGTCAGGTTGACCTCCACGCGGTTCCTTCTGATAACCATCGTTATAAATTCCTAGTGAATATACCACGATGGGCTAACTGACCTGACATCATGCTCATCTTAATATCTTCCACTCCAATTGGAGGAAGAAGGCCTCATCAGAGTTAACCGTTAGCACACCATTCCATTATCAAACCTAAAAAAAGTCAGTTTGTATGGTGAATTGCGTAAGGAGTCATACATGAGCGATGTATGGCTCACTACGCAATTCAACAACTTCAAATCCTTCAAAATAAGTTTAGCTCAAGGTGCACATACAGACATAGTTCTCAACACAGATTTCCAGTACGATGTTAATCTGCCCACCTTCAAATATTACTTATAGATAGTATGGCCCTCTGATGGATTCCCTGTTCAATTCAAATGGGGAACGATATTACGATGGCCTGAGCTGAGGTTCGAATCCTTAGTGGTGCCCTCAGACTAAAGTCGTATCTGTCAGGCGGGAGTTGGCCTTCAGCCGCTGCATAAGTCCTTCCGCGGGTTTGGAGTGCCATCTGCATTCGCCCCTTATCATCAGGTGAAGCTGTAAAGGCCAGCTGCGGCCTTAATAGCATTAAAGTTAGCATTAGAGTAGTCTTAAAAAAAGCCTTGAGAAAAAAATGAAAAAAAAAAACAGTTGTATAGTATACCTACCCCTATAAACTCTGCTTATCTTAGGACAACCTCATCTACGTTGTGTGAATTGTCCAGGACTATTATTATTATTATAAAAATTGATTAATATAAAAATTGTGCTGAAGAACGTAATCTTGTTCAACAAGATCTTGAACTTGACTACAAGAAAATGAGACACCCCAAAAATTTTTCGAGCCATAAAATCAAAATTAGTTAATTAATATGATTTTGTTTTATTCCGCTAACATCAACATGAGAGAGAGTGCGAGACCACAAATATTCTGTGTGGAAACCAGACCACCGATCGATACCGTGGTGGATAATTTTATATTATAGTATGTTTAGACAATATCCAGATATGTGGCGGCGTGGTGGGCCGGGTCATTGGGCTCCCTGAAATATGGTCAAGAGCAGTGATGTCAGTGGCTTGTAGGGACTGATTTAATTTTATGATGTATTTAACCCTTTTGACTCTAATAAATTATTGCTAGTTGGTGGTTTGTATTCACGCGTTTGGCTTGAAAAATGTAAAAGTAATGGTTATTTAAAAGAGCTACACACTAGTTTTTTGCTCATCCTTCTTGTGATGAGACAGCTTTCCGAATGAGCAGTTGATTAAAAAAATTGTGATGACTATTCAAAAATGCTTAAATTCAATTTATTGAATAAATTATTTCTATTCTATTCTTTTTATTTATCCAAAACTGTACTGTAAACGTTACAATATTTGGTTGGTGATCAAATTCCAACCGTTATTGAGTCCACACCCCATTTTGCAACACTTGTTTTGTCTCTAAACGAGGCTTCATGAAGCATTGAAAAGAACTGGAATATATCTTGGGACCCTAGTGTTGTCTGTTCGCAGTTTGGTTGCCGAAACAATCGATTTGTGTTATATTAAAAGGGCAGACAAGTCAGTTATCATATATGATTGCTTTACGGTTTAAATTATCTGCAATTTTTGCAAGAAATTTGGCTGATTCCCTACCAGCACCGGCCTTGTATGTAACAAAGCAGGCATAGCGGCTCTTGAGTAGTAGGTATATTCTTTGCATAGCAAGGAGTAGCAAAGGACGTACCAAAAATTCCACAGATAACATAAAAAAAACTTAACTCTGACGTCTGCTGTCATATGACGTACGTAAAATATGAAATGTCAATTGTCAAATACAATTATTTTTCAAATTTCAATAGATACAAATTCAATTTAAAGTTAATCCTGTACGTAGGAAACTGTAGAATTATCCTAAAGTAAACTTGTGGTTAATTTATATATACTGTTATCGTTAATTTATATACTTACCAGCCATTTGTTATTATGTTACCTGTAATTAGCTTGGAAAGAATTGTTTAATGGTATCAAGTCGACCAGAAAATGCATTAAATTATTCAATATTAATTATTCGTCTGTTTAAAATGTGGAGAGGAATTAAAACTTTTCAGTTTATATAAATTTATATTTATATTTTTCTGCACAGTTATAAAATATTGTCCATTTTAAAGTTCTACAAGAAAAATTTCTACTGGTTTTCGAGATGTTTATCGTTGGCCTTACTGGAGGTTTAGCTACAGGGAAAAGCACCGTTTTAGCTATATTTCGAGACAATGGTATAGCAGTCATAGACGCCGACGAGGTTGCTAAAAAAGGTAAAATTTCCCTTCTGTATTTTAAACAAATAATTACATTTGGAATACCAGAGTGTGTACTGTTCTTGAACTGATAAAGTCCCTGTAAATAGTCATAATTACTCAATATCCACTTCTATTATAAGAATATTCTATTATGGAGAAGTCAGTATATAGAAGATCTGTTTGAATATCAACACCCATTTTATATGGCACACCTAAAAACACAAACTACCTTTAATTGGCATGACCTATTGTAATTACAATATCAAATCTCATTCTTTGAAACGGAACATAGCTTGAAAGGCAAGCTGTTGATTGCAGAAATAGGTCAGACACAGGTAAGCACCCATGCATAGGATTTTGTACAAAAACAATGTCTAAGAACAACTCACACAGCTTTATCTAGTCCCAGACTAAACAGAGCTTGTGTTAATGGCACTCGACAACTGACATAAATACATAGGTGCTTTTGTTTGTAGTAAAAATATGACTACATAATTTGTTCCTTAAACACTTGCAATTATCAACTAATTGTTGTAATATAATCATCCCAAAATTAATATAAATTTGGATTAATTATGATTCATTTGAACACACTAATTTCACCTCATCTATGTCCATCAATACAATTGATTATATATGATACTAGCTATTCCCTCTACTGCGTCTGCTTGGAATTTTATTTTATTTTTCTAAAATAAAAGTAGCCTAAGTTACTCCTTATTACATCAGCTACCTGCCAAAAAAGTACTGTCAAAAACGGTCCAGCCATTTCAGAGATTAGACAAACAGACCAACAGACAGACAAAAATTATAAAAAATGTTATTTGATGTATAAACCGTATTTATAATCATATGCATATAGTAAAAAATGGTTACTTCAATATTACAAACAGACACTCCAATTTTATTTATATGTATAGATAACTGATTGCAGAATAGAAAAAACATGATCTTTGAAAAAAGAAAGTCACAGATACAGTAAATAGTTGTTTAGTTTTCAGCTACATTCTGCCCCACTCAATAGAAAATATTAAAATGTGGCACAATACTGCTCTCGTTTGCTCTGCAATGTTTTTATATCAATGTAATTAAAAGTATGTTAATTAATTATACTTTTGGTTTACCCACTTGGCAAACTATTGCTTATGCAATCATTATTTATTTCTCTATAGTAAGTGGTATATTCAATTCTAAGGAAACAAGAATAGGGTTAAATATAGATTTTAATTTCTTTTAATATTGCAATTTTTTTACATCATTATCTTTCTTACACAATGTTAATGCACTTTTGTTTATTTGTTCTCTTAGGGTCTTGATGGTGTAATCAATTGTAATACAATTTGGTATACTTTTAGCAGTTTGGATAAAGTACTATATCTATTACTTTTTTTATTATTTATTTTATCAAAATATATTATATAAATTGCACTATTCATAGGAACTAATGATTCAACTTGCAAATATGTTTTTTTTTAAACTTTATTGATTTTGTTCATATGGCCGGCTTAATGGGAATAGATAGTACTCTCTACCAACCAATCTTAGGGAATGCAGAGATACTCAAAGGCAGTTTGGTTGTAATAAATTAAATATAAATATATTCAGTAGATATAAGACTATACATAGACAAGATATTTAATGTTGAATAGCAAATTTAATGTTCAACGTTATATATGCTATACAACAATATGCTACAAAGAAAAGAAGCGAAGCATCAATGAAATTTAATGATACAGTAATTTTTTTTAAATGTTTCAGTTCTGGAACCTGGGACAAAGGCTTGGAAAGAATTGAGAAAATACTTTGGTGATGAAGTTTTATATCGGGATGGTAAAGTCAATCGTGTTAGATTAGGGGAAATAGTGTTTGATAATATAGAAAAGAGACGTAAACTAAATGCGATCACCCATCCTCGAATACAGAGTGCTATGATGAAGATGGCTGTAACATACTTTTTTTCTGGTCATAGATATATTGTCATGGAAGTGCCACTGTTATTTGAAACGGGCAAAATGTTGACTTTCATGCATAAGATTATTACTGTTGTTTGGTAAGTTTCAATTTTGCAGTTTTACACATGAGCATTTCTACTTTTTTTATTTATTTGAGCGACCAACAAAACACACTATATGGTAACAATTATTATACCTAGCAAGAACTTCAGGTATATAGTGTTGACTAATTACTAGTTGCCACGGCATGCGTAAATGTTTACAGTTATTTATATATATACATATATCTTTTTATTTATTTATTATGTCTTTTACATTTACTTATGTTTACCATTACACCACCATATAATCAAATAGCAGAAAGAATGGGTTTGTTTGTGTGTAGTCAGTGTGAATTCACAAAAACAACATTGTATATTATATGTTACATTACCAAACATGTAATATAATATAGTCTTAGATACACCATTGTATTGGGCCAAGGCTTGTAATATTAATTGTGCAAATAAATAAATAACTAGCTGATCATCCTTGTGGAATTTCATTAAAATAAATAGAGCCTAAGTTACACCTTCTAACATTAGTAATCTGCCAGTTTAAGTACCGTCAATATCGGTTCAGCCGTTTCAGAGATTAGCAAGTACAAACAGACAGTACACAATTTTTTAAAATTAATTTTATTGAACTTGTTCTTGATTCATGCATTATAATAGCTTTTTTAATATTAATGTTACATTTCTATATACAGTTTTTGTGCCCTTCACACATTTATACTGTGTATATTGCTTATATTTCAGTGAGGACCATCAGCAGTTAGAGAGATTATGCAAGCGCAGTGATTTTACTGAAGTGGTCGCAAAGAAAAGGATAAACTGCCAAATGCCTCTTGAGCAAAAAGTTGCAAAGTCTGATTTCGTAATAGATAACTCTGGAGACATGTTAAACACCAGATATCAAACCGAGAGTATTATTAGAGTGCTTAAGAGATCAAAATTTACATGGTGAGGTTTCTATATCTTTATATATAAAAATTAAATGTCAGGTTGTATGTCGCTATGGGCTCCTAAACTACTGAATCAATTGCAAATTTGATTTGCACATTGTGTGCAATTTGATCCAACTTGAAAGATAGGATAGCTTACATCTCAATTTATAGTCGCAATATTATTTTATTCAAGATCCTTAGCCACAGCAACTTGTAGCCAATTCTCCTAGTATTACTATATTTTTGTATGTACCTAGTGAAATTGGAATGGAATAGTACATGTTAACTTTAACATGTATGTAAATACTAGCTGTATCTGGATTTCACCTGCATTAAATTTCAATATAAAATACAGCCTATGTATTATTGTGATGCATAAGCTGTATTACTGTAAAGTTTCATCAAAATCAGCTCAGTAGTTATTGCGTGAAAGAGTATCAAACATCCATACTCACGAACTTTCGCATTTATAATATTGTAATATATTAAGATGAATTAAGAAGAACAATCTTATGAGATTGCGTTGAAAAATATTGAAGTGTTTATTTGAAATATTAATGTATTTAAGTGCTTAAAGATATTAATAAAAAAAAAAGTGTACTGTATATCTTTTAAGAATCAACATGTTCTATAGATGTTAGTGACATATGATAATTAAAAATTGATTACAAGAAAGACAGTTATTTAACTAGACGACGATTTCAGTGGTGTAGCGGTCAAGCACACCTCTTTACGACCGATGGTCACGGGTTCGATTCCTCGCGGCAAAATATTTTTATTTATATTTTTTTATTGTGTCATTAAAAAATTCATACAACCCTAAATTTTCACCCTTCTGTCATCAACTATTTTTTTTAGCATTATTAATTTATATGGCAAAACAACGTTTGCCGGGACAGCTAGTATAGTCTATATACTATACATGTAGTTAATGTTTGTTGGAGAAATAAAGAAATATAGTATTAATATTTTTTTTAATTTGTTTCAGGTACTTCCGAGCTTTATTTTATATTGGATTTTTATCATTATTATTTGGTGTGGCTCATATAGTAAGCAATTTTATATATAGTGAAGAATAAGGACATTATGCATACTTCATAGAGTTATAAGAATTATTTTATTTATATCATCAACTAGCTACTTGCTCCGACTTTGCACGGGTACACATGTATTATACATATAAACCTTCCTCTTGAATCACTCTATCTATTAAAAAAAAAACCGCAATAAAATCCGTTGTGTAGTTTTAAAGATTTAAGCATACATAGGGACGGACAGACAGCGAAAGTTACTTTGTTTTATACTATGTAATAATGATGAACAAAACAAAATTTCAAACTAGCTGTTACCATTACGAACTTATGCAAGTTAATTTTTTTTTATTGAAATAAGTATAGTTTCTAAAATAACAGGAACTTAAATTGCTCCTTATATGGATGATAACCAATGTTTAGGTATCTACGAGTATAATCCAGTTAAAATCGGTTCAGAGATTAGCCAGAACACATAGACTGACAAAACTTTTTTAAATTATGGCTTGATGTACTGCATAATAATTACTAAATGTATAATATAAATTTAGTAAGAAGATGTTAATTTAACATTACAAACTTAAATTTTTGTAGCACAACACTACAAGTGCTGGGTGTCTTTCACTTTACACGAATTGTTTAAATATTGATATTTAAAATGAGATATTATAATCAAAATTTCACACTAAATACACTTATTAATGTAATAATTTAAAAAAATGCATTAATTATAAATTACTGTATATAAATAGTCACTTAAACATTTCATTGGTCGGTCGGTCGTTAATTAATATCAAAGTTATAGGTACTATTATTAAATTTATTCACATTTAGCAGAATTTATATATAATAATGAAAATGACTTATTTGTTTTGTACTCATCATTTGAACTACTTTAATATGTTTAGTTATTATGACGGTATACATTATAATAACCAGAGGAATATATTAATACAATATAAAAAAAGTGTACGATTATATCTATAAGTTATGTTAATATTTATACTACTCTGTTAATATTGGTGAGGTTTTTACCCGTTAACTTAGGTCTGGTCCACCAACTAGTGGGTTTAGGTGTAAGAAAAAGTGGATCGCGCTTAGTAGTATAACCAGTTGTATGTTGTCGGAGATAAGCGTCAGAATTATTATGTTCTACATCATAACCTATGGCTGTTGACATTATACGAGTCTTGTTCTCGAACTGATCGTATGTTGTGTTCCTCTGGATATGTTCAAACGTTTGTTGGATTGGATCGTAGCCGAATGAACCAAAAATGGCGCTGAAATATGGTACAAATGATTAGTATAAAATTATATTGCTTAGGGGCCGTACAAGTAAGTGAGCAGATTTATATATAGGGACTGGTCTGCTCTACGACTGATTTAATCTTATTGTGTTTTTATATTTGAGCCTAAATGAATTGGTGCTGGTTGGTAGTTTGTATTCACAAGTTTCGACTTGTAAAATGTGAACTTACAAGGATTGTTTAAAAGAGCAACACACAAGTTTCTTGCTTATTCTTCTTGTGATGAGAAAGTTTACAAATAAGCGGTAGTTTAAAAAAAAAGTTTATTTGAATAAATGATTTTCTATTCTATTCTATTACAAATATAACCCCCCCCCCCATCCCCTTGTCTGCAAAAGTAAGCAAAGATCTTAGCGCTTCCCCCTATGCTTACGTAAACATGTTTCAATTAATGTATTGTTTTTTTTAGCAATGACAATGTGAGGATTGTAATTCGTATAAAAAGTAAATAGCTACCGATAACGTAATCATCATCTGGACTCCCCTACCCCCATGTCATCCAAAATAATCAAAGCAAAGACCCCCCTGCCCCCATAGTGTTTACGTAATACTTGAACGGCCCTTACGACTGTAATCCTAGATGCTACGTTGATCATTGCTATTGTGATGAGTCTTTAAAATTTGTATAATTTTTTATCAATCATCTTTAATTTTTTATAAACTTCTTATTATTTCTACTTATGTTAATATAATACCCGTTATTATGGGAACGTAGGTACTCTGTATCAATACTTTAATAAATATTTATTAAGGTATATGTAGCAGATATCTGTCTACATACAAATTATAATAATTGTAAATTTTTAATTCGGCTTTAATAATCATTTCAAAGAACATACGGCTTGTAATCGACTTCTACAATAAACCTTTGACGATTTGACTCTGCAAAAACATTGTTGTCTCTGAAATATAATCAAAGCTAGGCGTAATTATTTTATTAAAAATTTTATACCATGTTCGCTGTAGCATGGTGTGGGTGACAGTTTCTTTAATATTTCGTTTCACTCAAAGTTGCCGCGATTTATAAATAATTACTTAGTATTTCAGCTGTACCACATTCTGTACCAGCTGTAACACATACACAAGTGGTAGATAAAAGACAAATTGTTATGACTATTCAAAAGTGCTTAAATTAAGTTTATTTGAATAAATGATTTTCTATTCTATTCTATTCGTAATAAATTAAATCATTAAAAAGTGTATTAACTTAAATGTAACAATTGTTAAATGTAAAATTAGTAACTGTCACCCGCACCATACTACAACGCACACAGTATAGGTGTGGTACTATGGTAAAAGTATAATCAAATAAATTAGATATACCTACTTATATATATATATCATAGAATAATAATGTACAAGTATACATACTGCGCTAAAGTCTGCATTATATAATATATACAAAATGTAAGTGAAACCATGTTGCGGTCGACGATTGTGAATAAAATATGATTTTATGCATGCAATAAAATTTTAATAGTATATTGAAAGTGTATGAAATTACTTCCACAGTTTTTTTATATGAAACTATTAAAGTACCTACTAAAATTCCGTATGTACGGTCTGCCTTGCCTGCAGTAGTGTCCTTGCATTTAATGTTTGGGAGAAACTTCTGCAGCAAACGATTCAAATCCTGCCTGGATTTGAATCGTTTGCTGCAGAAGTTTACTGATCTGTTATGTTAATGTTCTTCAATAGGTTATACAGACTGTGATACAACAGTATCAAAGGCCAGGTCGATCTCCACGCAGTCTCTCCTATAAACCATCGGGATTCGCTTTAAATCCACTATGATGGACTAATTGACCTGACTTCATAGTCTTTGTGATCCTCTATTGGTATGTTACAGGCGGATATAACTATGATATATTTATCCATACAATAAAAATAGGTACATTACTATGTGCGCTTTAGGCTGGTGCGGGTGACAGTTCCTTCATTTAACAATTGCTAAGTTTAAGTCTACAGTTATTAATGATTTAATGTATTACCAATATATTATGTTATCTGTGGTATTACGAATGTGGTACAGCTGAAATACTAAGTCATAATTTGTAAATCACGGCAACTTTCAAAAGTAAAACAAACTGTCACCCACACCATGCTACAGCGCACATAGTATAATGGGATTCAGTTAACCTAAGTTTAATCCTAAAAAAATCGGGGGTAGGAAATACAGCTAAATATTGTTTTTTCTCTTCAGAGCAACTGATAGCACCATAGAATGAACACAATATCCTAGGGTTGGGGGGAAGGGGATTGTTAGTAATGTAGATTGATAACCCCATTGCTAGCAATGTACCATGTCAGGTCGACCTCCACGCGGTTCCCCCTGGAAACCACCGTGTTAAATTCCTGGTGAATTTGTCACGATGGGCTAACTAACCTGACCTCATGCTCATCTTATCATCCTCCACTGGTGCCCCGCCAGCGTAAACCGTTAGCACAGGCGGGTGCACCATTCCATTATAATCCACAAAAAAAAAATATCCTAGGGTTTATTTTTGATGGTTTTGGTACCCGAAGTTTTATCTAGAATATATAGAAAAACTAGTAAATTATTCAATACGAAGTCATAACATCGTAGTACTCAGGATAGGTAACACATGACGCGTATTTTTTAAATGAGAGAATTTAGTGTTTTCTGCGTGCCGATAAGTGACGAGTATGTCTGTTGTGGCAAATCTAAATGATTACTTGCTCAGTGACAGTGCCAAAAGCTGAGCGAGTAAACACTACGTGGACGATCAATTTAACTAACTCATAATTTTCAGTTTTACATAAATAAATTGCCATCACCTTTGTGCCTTTATGCATATATATATTTATTTATGTCTACATATGTTAATCTTTTTTTCCTCAGATTCAAAACAGAAATAGAAATACACACGTGTGCATTGTATGTCTTTGTAAGCGCCATAATTTGTAGAAAATAAACAATATTCTAATTCAACAAAATGTTTTATTACCTTTTTTAAAAAAATTTAATTATTGAAAATGTAAAAATTGGCGTAGGTAACTAAAATGTTATGTATGAAAAAAACATGCACAACTTTATTTTCTTACATAACATTGTCATAACGTCAATTCTTTATATGTTGTTTGAAAACTGTTTATTACTAACATTTGTTTATGTAGGTACTAAAAATAATTTCAAATGTTACAAAAAATATGCAGTTGATTTGTGACAATGCGCAAAACGTAATTTTTTTATGATATTAATAACTAAGACATAATCATCATTCTAAAGCAGTCTCCTCAACTGCTTATATAATTGTGTATATTTATTAACTCATAAAGAGATACAATATTTCTCTTATGATATTTGAATGGCGCAACCGTCTGCGCTAATGGTTAACACTGGCGGGGCACCAGTGGAGGACGATAAAATTATCTTGAGGTCAGGTCAGTTAGCCCATCATGACAAATTCACCAAGAATTGCTCACAATGGTTTCCAGCAGTTAACCGCGTGGAATTAAAGAAGTAGCCACTCACTATATCTCCGTATAGGCACAGTATGGATAAAACAGTACTACAGAAAAATAATTTAAACAAGTGTCAAGCTAAGACCTACTACTGACAATTATATTATTCCTTTTCTCTCATGCACTATTACCCTTATAATGCATCTCGCTCGGGTTTTCTTTGTTGTATAATATTCTCTATTTTTAGCCACGAGTAGGGATGTGTAGTCTATAATTGTTAATTAATCAATTCGATTATTATTGCACAGAACTTGTAATCAATTAACGTTCATGGTGTATGGATTGTAATATACTTACTCATTGACGCATTCAATTTATTGCTTTAAGAATATTTTATTATTAATGCGATAATAAATGTACCCTGGGGATGATCAATAAACATCGATTTTCGGCAACGACGTATGTTCGTCTGTGATCTAGAAAGACAATAAAAAATCATTCGAATCACAAAATTACATAATATCAAATAATATAAAACAAGAGAAAACATCGATGTTTCTCATTTAATATTTTAAATATTTTGATACGTATTTGTAGATCGATGTTGACAGCGTCATTAATAGAAGTTTTTATATAGCTTTTTAATATGTATGATTTTTAACACAAAGTACATATTTTATTTCAATACATTTTGAACGATTATATAATTCTGATTTTAATTATAAGGAATTATGTCTCCATACACCAACATTTTAGAGCAAAGTATTAATTGAATACTATATTTTATTACGATAATGTAGAAATTAGAAACAATATTTAATACAGGTGAAAAATCGAATCAACCAATATCGAGTACGTTCGATATATCGTAACTGAATATCCCTACGCAACCACATGTATCGAATATATATTCGGTTAACATATGACTATTAATGGGATCTAAATATATAACAATGCAACCACCTGTGTCGAATACATGCAACCACCTGTAGTTTGAAAATATTGATACAAAAGTGTAATAGTTTCTTGAGAATAGTAAAAATATTGATTATTAGTTGATTTCATATAAAAAATATAAGTGCGACAGGCTCGTTTTATTTAACTCCGAATTGGCAACACTGATTACTAATTGTGTTTGAGAAAATTGTTGTGAACCTGTCATTCCGTGGTTTATTTTCGTCATTTCATTTGTGAACAGTGTATAATCTACATATTTGACAACAAAATTCTTTGTATCCTTGAACTTTTATTATTCACTCAATGATAATGGTCTAATACTTTAAGTAAAATCGCATCATACTATTGCAATATTTAAGGCATTGCTAATCCTTTGTGTGTTCCATATAACTTTGTTCTTTAAAAGTTATTAATTACGTTTGTGGGACAAAGTCAAGAATGTACAGATAGTAAGTGGCCTCTATAGAGTGAAATTAGACGTAGAAAACATAAATAGATACCAGAAAATTTATTAAAAATGGCTTACTATGGTAGACGTGATGTGATGTATAGCGCACTAAACAACGAAGTGACCCCGCCACTGGCAAGCTTGGCAGAAACCACGACTGCTATGCCTACGTTGCTTACGATGGAGCACGAACATGAAGATTCCACCAACGTTATAATCCACAAAGTACCAGAAACCAAAGGTATATTCTGCATTTTGACATCTCTTTGTTCTACACCTTTACAGTACTCGCATTTTTCTACTCCATCAATTGCTATTTGGTAGTTCTATTTAATTTATAGCAGTAGATATATAAATAACAGTACATTGTATATTGTTTGTAAATAATTACTCTATGTGGATGGATTGTGCATTATTGTGTTGTTATAATGCAGCACATGGTATTTTTGGAACTTTGTCAAATCTTAAAATATAATCTTGCTTTGTCATGGTTTTACTTTAACCATCTTTTAAATACTATTTTATATTTAGGATATATAATTATATATATACAGATTTTCTTAACACAATCCAAATGTGTTTGTTAAATGGTTATTATAGATCTTAACATTGCATTTACACTATTCCATGTGTGATTTTTCAATTGTTGACATTTTCTGTGGTCTAGTGGTTTAGCAACCCTCCTTACTTCCAATAATCACAGGTTCGATTCCTCACATGGCACAAACATTTATATTCATTTGTATGATTGTTTGTATCAGTCTGGTTGTATTCTATATGGAATATATATGTATTTATGAAAAAAATCTATGTATTTGTATCAGTTATCTACTTTCTATAACACAAGCTTTAGCTAGCTTAATTTGAGTCTAGATGGCGTTGTGTCAATTGTCCTGTGATTATTATTATTATTTTGTGATATTAATTATATATTATTTTTTTCAGGAGGTTGGACACACATTGATGACCTGGATTCATTTTTCACAAGAATGTATAGATACTATGTACGCGGGGGATTCTATCCTATGATAATATCAGATGTATTATCGTTATTACAATTTTTATTTATCGTCTGGTTTTCCACTTTTCTGGTACACTGTGTAAATTATCCTAAATTGTTTAGAAATTCTACAGACAATGTTACTGGAAAATTGACACTTAGTGATGTAATATTTCCGTTAAATGTGTGTGTAGAGAGAATTTCATGGAAATGGTAAGTGGATTTTAATGTATTAATTTTATTTCAACAGAAATATAAATCTGATATTTCAGAAACTGTGTTGTGCACATAAACCTACATGCACTATTGTTATTATTATTTTGTACTCATTTCTTCTCACTTTGGTTTGCTTAGATTTATTTAGATTATACTATATGCGCTGTAGTATGGTGCAAGTGACAGTTACTAATAACAATTGCTACATGTAAGTTAATACAGTTATGAATGATTTAATATATTACAAATGTACAGCTGAAGTACTAAGTCATAATTTGTAATTTGCGGCAACTTTTAAATAAAATGTTAAAGAAACTGTCACTAGCACCATGCTACAGTGCACATGGTATAATTTGATCACTTACTTCACATATCTCCAATGATGTATGTGAAGCTCTTGCATGATGATCATTGTGGCGAACATGACTCACACTCACATTCACTCACACTCACTCTTGATTTTAGTAGCTAACAAACTTCTAAGTTTAAAATTAAGTATACTCTTAGTTAAACATTATTTCTTACTGGCTGTGCGGTTCCTATGTGTTATTCTAATGTGTCAGCTATATTACTGTTAAATTTCATCAGTAGTTTTTGCGTGAAGAAGTAACAAGCATTCATAATTACAAACTTTCGCATTTATAATTTTATTAAGATAAAGTTGTACATGCTTTTCTAATGGTAATAGTTATTTTACAATCATAGATGTTTACTCCTCCATTTTGGTTAAAGTAGTAATTTTTTTAACTTTATCAGAAAAAAACATACTATCTTATTATCTTCCTACCACAAATATGGGGGTTTTACTTTACTTTATTGTATAAATATTTTTGAACCTATGTCAGTTTAGTAACTTGGTATGTAGATGTATATCACCAAATTCCTTGTATATTCTTCAAGTATTTCTGAATATGTGATAATAGTTGTATCAACATATGTGTAGGCGATGAAATAATTTCTATATAAAATTACATGCTCTCACTGAGTATTATAATATATTACCAATGCACTCACCAAGGTATAAACTTATGCAATACATACATTATTACTAATAGTGACAACAATAATCTAGATATGAATACTACTGTAATACTGTAATTTAACATAAGTGAAAACTTATTAGGTTGGTCCATCTGATTTGGTTGGTTTGATCAACCAAACCATAAATTAATACATTATTTGCTATTTCAATCACATGAAAATATAATTATTAGGATTATACATATTAATATATCAATATAAAACTTTTGCACGAAAGCATATAGTTGGACATGAAATGACACCAAAAATGTAAACAAAGAAACTTCATTGTCAAACTGACATCTCATGTTTAGTCTATATTTCCATAGAGAGTTGATTTATTAAGTACTATCGCGACTTCGTACCCGTTATAGTGACCTTGACCAAACAAAGAAATCTAACACAAAGGAAAAAGTTTCATCGTTCTAGTTTAAAAAATGACGATTTTCCATGCAACCTTTGATCCCCTATTTTATTTTACCTCCATAAGGGTGACATCTTTACAAACCTCATAATTATTTATATTTAACCAACAGCCTATATAGTTTCAAGATTCTATTTTTAAATATGACGATATTTCTATACAAACTTTCATGTCCCCTTTCAACCCTTAAAACCCTTTTTAGCATTAAAAAGTAGCCTATGTCCGTTCTCAGGGATTGTACTATCTGTGTGCCAAATTTCATTTAAATCTGTTCAGTAGTCTTGGCGTGAAAGCAAGATAAAGAGACAGATGGTACATGGTTTCTCTGAAGTCCAAATCATGAACATATGATAAAATTAAAATAAAGAAAAATATAAATTTGTATTACTTATGAATAACTTTCTAAAACATGAAATATCAAGTCTGGATTATTCCCAGTAATCCTTCTTTGTATAAATATGCAAAAAAAAAAATATTATATATTTTTTTAAGTAAATTGCCAGCGCGACTTTGATTTTATATTTATATCTTAATGAAATATATAATTTCTTACAATAGAAAATTAAAAATAATATAAATCGTTAACGTAACAAAGTACCTTCATATGGTATTAGAAGTTTCTGCGTTTAAATTAAAGTTCAACTGACTTTAAATTCGCCATAGGTCATTATAAAACACATTGTTTAATTATGTAACCGTGCTTGCGATACATTTATAATGTTCATGTAAAATGAAATAATAATATGTCATGACAAAAAGGGTAATAATCAGGGATGTTAGGGTGTTCCGTAACCGTAACCGAAACTATCGGATATCCGATTTAAAAAATATTCGTAACCGTAATCGAATCCGAAATAAAAGTTTCGGATAATATCAGATAGGGGCGGAGCCTAATTGAGACACTATATGTAACCAATTTATTAGCTATTTGTATTTTACTTTTGAAATTCCTTAAAAATTTATATCCGTAACCGAAATTATCCGGAACTAACGGATAATCTGGAATAATTTCATATCCACATCCGTATCCGTATCCGGTATAATAATCATACCTATATCCGAAACTTATCCGTATGCGAAATTTCATATCCATAACATCCCTGGTAATAAGCAATAAAAATGTAGTGTGTGGTACTAATTTAAAAATAAAGTTGTAAGGTTGTACAGTGAAATTATCATTATAGCTGCAAAATTTATTTATCCCTATTAATTTAAATTTATAAATTAACTAGCGAACGTCCCGGCGTCGCACGGCTTTCGCACAAATATATTGATATCTAGCTGACACGCGCAACGTCGTCTGCATTACACTTATTTAACATTTATTATATATTTTTATTCTGTATTATATAGTTATATATTTCGCTCAATTTACATAATATCCATTTAAATTACAGTTTTTGCGTGAAAGAGTCACAAACATCGATCCATACTCACAAACTTTCGTGTTTATAATATTATTATACATAGTAAGATGACAATGTAATTCCTCCAGAAAATATTTTGAAACATGAAACATGTTTTGTATTCACTTCCTCATATAAAACACGATTTATGTATGACAAGATGACAAGTGACTTTATAGGTTTTCTTTTTATCAATTGCTAGCGACTCGTCCCGGCTGCGGATGCATTACAAATCTTTAAATTTCTTGGCCTGTTCTATACTATTACACGCATGTATTGCATGTAAACCTTCCTCTTGAATCACTCTATCTATTGCTCGAAACTGCATTAAAATCCGCTGCATAATTTAAAAGATATAAGCGAACGACAGCAGCGACTTTGTTCAATGCAATGTAAAGATTAATTGTAATTAAATTAAATGTATATGAAGCAAGCAAAGCAGCTTCATATACATTTAATAAAAATTAAATGTATATGAAGCATGAATTTTAAGTATGTGACTGCAACTTTTATTGTTTATTTTCTATGTTAGACTAATGAATAAATTGAGATATACGGATGTAACGGAAAGGTTATATCATACCAAAGAGATATAGCAAGTTATTTAAAATTTGTCATCATCAGCATAAGTTGTCATCAAATGTAATGAGCATGAATATTTTGTTTCTTTTTTTTTAACTAATTTAATGTTATATTAAAAGTTAAAACAAACGTGTCCCAACACTATGCGGTCATTAATTCCATCATAATATCAATGTCACTCCTTCCGCACGCTCTTGTTTATTCCTGTGCACCTGGTACTCACCTTGTGCCATTCAAGGCTATAATAAGTAAAATAATGACTAACAGTTTAGAAATACCCGTCAAAGACAGAAGCAGTACATGTATTCACGAACAAGTGTCACTTAAATTAAATAATGAGGAAGAAATATGAAGATGTCATTTAACTTGGAAAATAACCTAACCTAATCTAACCCAGAGACATGAAATTCGTGTTGAATACATGCCTTTTGTTTAGTATGTGTCAAACAAACATGGACATTTACTAAAAAACATCGCAAAAAATAACTATATACTGGTCAGCTCCTTACTGGAATGTTTGGACTGTTCATATTTCTTTGGTGTGACTGAAAACAGTGGTAGATAACACATTAAATTTAAAATTTGTTTTTGAAAGATAAAATTAATATTCGGAATCATAAAATCCAATAAAAACACCAGGAGTAAAGTGACGAAGTGTCTTATTCCAAAATATTTTGTGTTATTAGAAATCATGATGTCTATGACCCGAACAGCTGATTGGGAGTCTAGTCTTGTGTAAAGTAACATAATTCTAAATTGGTTTTTAGTGTATGCATTTCGTATTGATATACTCGTTTCGTTACACCTATACTAGAATGATGCTATTTTATGTTAAAGCTTTAAGTTCCATTACATAATTACATTAAGATAATAGAGAAAGAGGTGGACCGACGATCTGGTCAAAATCGCTGGAAGGCATTGGATGCGAGCAGGACCGATCGTCGTGGAGATCTATAGGGGATATGTCTAGCAAGGACGTCTTCCGGGCTGCGATGATGATGATGATGATGATGAATAGTGAAATACCATCTCATTAATTTGAATGTATTAAAAATTAATTTGCGACTATATCATATGTAATGGAACTATCTGTTTTAGTACATATTAATGTTTTAAATTTGCTGTTTCGTGTCGTTATTTTATAGTTGTATTTTATGGCGAATGAAGCATATAATGCACAATTTTCGTGTCAGTTACTGTATGTACTTAATGTATTTTAATTCGTGTCTATAAAAGTTGAAATGTCTTCGAACTCTTATATTGTACTTAATAATAATAATAATCTCAGGACAATTCACACAGCGCCATCTAGACCCAAGTTAAGCTAGTTAAGACTTGTGTCATGGGTACTCGATAACTGAATGAATGAATGAATGAATGAAACTCTATTGTTCCTCTCACCGAAAATACAATTACATATACAATTATGTATAAAATGATAAAAAAAAGTATATAATACAATAAACAAGACAAAGAGGTAACAATGGGCGGCCTTATCGCTAAAAAGCGATCTCTTCCAGGCAACTGATACAAATAAATAGATTTTTTTTCGTAAATACAAAAAACACTCAGACTGATACAAACAATCATACTTATGAATACAAATGTTTGTGCCGTGCGAGGAATCGAACCCGTGAACATCGGAAGTGAGGCGGTGTGCTAAAATGCAAGACCACCGAGGCTGCCACATATATAACATGTGGTTTCACCTGCATGAAATTTATACCCTATAGGTTATTCTGAAGTATAAGCTATATTACTGTAAAGTTTCGTCAAAATCCGTTCCGTTTAGTTTTTGCGTGAATGAGTAACAAACATCCATACTTACAAAATTTCGCGTTTATAATATTATTAAGATTCTATATCTTGTAATTTGTATTTGTTAATGTAATTAGGCTATAATGTAATTGATAATTAAATAATTAATTGATTTTAGGTGGAGTCTCATCGTATTGTGTACAATAATTTGGTTAATGAGATTAGTTTTATCATTATACAATTTATATTATGCTTATGACACGAAGTTATTCTACAATAATGCACTTAAAATAAAAGAGGTAAGTTTACAATTACAATGAAGAATAGAAATACGATGTTATTTAAGATTATTCGATCCAGAACCAGAAGAAGAGAAAAACAAAATAAAAGATTATTCGATAACGGGCTGTTTCGCGTTATTTGGAATAATACTTCATTATTACAACTTTTTTTTCGGACTACTCTAATGATGTTGGCCGCAGCTGGCCTTTACAGCTCCACCGGAAGATAGCGGACGAGTGCAGATGGCATTCCAAACCCGCGGAAAACTTATGGTGCGGCTGATGACCAACTCCCGCCTGACGAATACTAGTCTGAGGGCACCGCCAGGGTTTCGAACCTCGGCTCAGGCCGTCGTAATTTGATCCCCGTTTGAATTGGACGATCGTTTGGCGTGGTGTTGCTTTACTGTTTGTTTATTTCTGATTGGTTGGGTCACAATTGCAGTTGTCTACGTGTTATGGAAAACCACATTCAAAAGGTTATACCATTTCTGAGATTAGTGTGCACAAACACACAGACAAGCAGACAAAACTATTATTTTGACCTCAATATAATATGTATATAGTTTTTTTAATGTTTAATGTGCTTATTTACGATTTTATATATAGTAAAATGTATGGTTGTTACAATTTTTAATGAATCTTCATAATTATGTAGTATTTATAATAACTTGGATAACAAACAGCTTTATTACTTAACTTGAAATAGAATCGTACCCAGGACCATCTATGGATCGGCAAACCGCTGTACCACTGAGGTTCTTAAAAGTTCTTTGTATAATTCATACATATTAGGTATACAGGTAATTATATGAATAGTTTTCTCTTAGTATGATGGTCAATTGATGAATAATTAATATTAATTATATTATTATGTTTATTACTCACTGTATTATCAGAATTTAAAAATTTGAACTTATATAAAAGTATATGATAACTTATACAAAATAATTCGTGTTACATCATACCGACTTATCACCCGCGCAATCTGCTGTATATATGTTTCCAAGAATTATAAATTACCTACAATACGCTCAGATTAAAAGTAATGTATGCAATAACAGCTTCAATGTCGAATGCATTTGTTACAGAGTGATTTAGCATGGGTTAACTGGTCAACGATACAGGAGAAGGTGAGGGAAGCCCAGCCGGAACATCACATGTGTGTCCACAAGAAAGAGATCAACGAATTAGATATATATCATAGAATACTCAGGTATATTTATTATTATATTATACTAGCTGTACCCGCGACTTCGTCCGCGTAAAATAGTGACCTTGAGAAAATAATAAAAAATATATATTAATAATCTAACCCAATAAAAAAGTTTCATGGTTCTAGCTTCAAAAATGAAATTTCCATACATAATTCCATACAATTAATCAACAGCCAAAAACTAAGTTTCAAACTACTATCTTTAAAATGAAGATACTTCCATACATACCATACATACATTACATCTCCCCTTTCAACCCCTTATAACCCTTTTTCTTGTTTTTTTTAATGCTACTTATATTAGTGTCATCATGTACCAATGATAAGATGTCGCTATACTGTAACCATTTATGGCTGAGTCCTGTGGCGGTAGGTACTGATATTTTCTCAACAGCCTAAAAAATGGTTTCAAGTTTCTAGCTTTAAAAAATGACAATACATGCATACAACATTTTAACTCCCCTTTTGACCCTTACAACCCATTTTCGTTAATTATATTTAATCAATACGCAAAAAAATAAGATTGAAGCTTAAACTTTTAAAAAATTCCTCTTTCAGTCTCTTATAACCCTTTTTAGCATTAAAAAGTAACCTATGTCCTATCTCAAGATCTAGACTTTAAATTTAATTTAAATCAGTTCAGAAGTTTTGGCTTTTAAGACAGACAGACAGAGTCACTTTCACTTTCATAATATTAGTAAGGTATTTATTAAATAAACTGACCCAAAAAAGCTTCATCGTTCTAGCTTCAAATATGACGAATTTCCATAAAAACTTTTACCTGCTATTTTATTTTACCCCTTGAATGGTGACAATGTGATATTTACAAATTTAAATGTCATATTTATTTATATTTAATAAACAGTTTAAACATTTCTTTAAATTCTTTTCAAAATTGGTGGTCCAGTTGGCCAATAACATAATAAAATTTTGTTAAATCAAAATAATAGATGTGATATTCTAAATTGCAAACTATCCCTCTACTTGCGCAAACCATATCTCTGACTCTACTGGCCAGAATGGAGAAACGCGTATTCCGAACCTGAATAGCTCGGATGAAACGGTAGATGTTGTTTCTTCCAAGGAAATGTTGTTCATATGTATTGACAACATTTTTAATATTATATGTTGTTTTATTCTTCAAAAATATTAATAATATGTTCTTACGCTCTTGTCCAAGAGCAGGGTCATCAGTTATAGGCTATACCAGGATTATATTTATGTATTTATAAAATAAAATTGCAGAGCAAACATTTATTCATTTAAATTCATAAGGAGACAACGGATTGACAATAATCAGTTGCGCGCGCAACTTATACAAATGACATATATGTTTATTTATGACATATGAGCGTTAATAAGTCGCATATCTAGTACAATACTGGTGTAATTCAGAAATTAAAAATTTTTGAAAATAGACTTAATAACACAATTATAAAGTAGACTTTCCAAAATATCTAATTTTTTAGTTAAGCCATTATTATAATACGTGTGTATTCAACCGCATAAAGATAACCTTGCATTACCATTTTCAACCCCTTACAACCCTTTTTTCGCATTAAAAAGTAGCCTATGTCCTTCCTCGGCGTCTAGACTATATGGGTACCAAATTTCATTTAAATCAGTTCAGTAGTTTTGGCGTGAAAGCGAGACAGACAGACAGACAGACAGACAGACAGACAGACAGAGTTACTTTCGCATTTATAATATTAGTAAGGATTTATTTATTTAATTCAGGCTACATGGCCCATATTATAAATACCTTATAGACTAACATACATAAGAAATAATAAAAAAAATATGAAAAATAAAATTGTCTCTATGGTCACGGCATATATATGGTATATATATGGTATGGCATATATATAGTATATATTAAGTATTTAATTGGTGCTAATTATTAGTTTGTTTGTATTCACACACTAACTTAAAATATAAAGTAACAATATAATTATTTAAAATAGCAACACGCAAGTTTCTTGCTCGTTCTTCTTGTGATGAGACAGTTTTCCGAATGAGCGGGAGATTAAAAAAATGTGATGACTTTTTAAAAGTGCTTCAATGCATGTTTATTTGAATGTATGATTTACTATTCTATTAATACTAACGGTCGCGGCAAACGTTGTTTTGCCATCTAAGTTCATAACGCTATAAAAAATAGGGGTTGGTGATAGAAGAGTGAAAATTTAGGGTTGTATGTATTTTTAATATCACCTAATAAATTGTTTAAAAAATACAAAAATATTTTTAAGGGTGGTTCATCCTTAACCTTTACAGGTATAAAAATTAGTTATAAACCTATTCTCAGACCTACTGATTATACGAATGAAAATTTCTTCAAAATCGGTCAAGCCGTTTCGGAGGAGTATAAACACGAAACCGAGTATTTTGTGTATTAGTTTATTTGCTTCCATATTACATCTTGTTAAGTAATACATTTTTATCTATTTACCTGACTGAACTCTACTTATTTCATATGCAATATGTTTCAATGTACACAATGCCAGTTATATAGTGCAATATATTGCAATACGATATTACAAACAAAAATATTCATACATACATAGTTACATACCTTTTAAAATAAATAATAATAATAATATACATTTATTAAGCAAATATGGTTAATATTAGCATATACTAAATTAAATTGGTAGCATATATATGTACATATGTACATACAATCCGCGATGTCGTCCGCATGGAATATAACTTTATTTTTATAAAATAAAATTAAAAGTAGCCTAAATTACCCCTTAAACCATCAGCTGCCTGCCAAAAAAGCCCGTCAAAATCGGTCCAGCCATTTCAGAGATTAGCTGAAACAAACAGACAGAGACAGACAAAACTTGTAAAATTTGTTATTTTGATGTATGGATGTATTCATATGCTGTAACAAAAACGGTTATTTCATTATTTCAATATTACAAACAGACACTCCAATTTTATTTATATGTATAGATAATTACTTTATATTGAGCACGTAATTATCTGTAGTTCTAATGAATGAAGTAAACGCAATTTACAAATTCCAAGCGAAGAAACAGGCGGACAGGCAGTGTATAGCGTGATTGTTTCATACTACTAGTATTAAATGATTATCAACCGGAAGGTTTAATTTATACAGCAATTGCCACTTTTGTTGTATTAATACTTTGTTGACCAGTAGCTAGTTAGCTGGTCTTTTCGTAATTTATCCGTCATACTTGTGAACGAATGCTGCTTGTAGGGACTGGTCTGCTCTTATCACTACGACTAATTTAATCTTATTGTCTATTTATATTTGACCCTAATAAATTAGTGCTAGTTGGCAGTGAGTATTCACACGTTTCGACTTGTAACATGTGAACTTACAGGATTATTTATAGCAACACACTAGTTTCTTGCTCGTTCTTCTTGTGATGAGACAGCTTTCCGAATGAGCGGTAGATTAAAAATTGTTATGACAATTCAAAAGTGCTTAAATGAAGTTTGTTTGAATAAAGGATTTTCTATTCTATTCTAAATTTATGCTAACAGGTGTTGAGGTAAATCTTAATTGCACTTGCATTATCTATTTAAATTTATACCCATGACGATATAGAATATCACAAAAAAATGGTGTATCGTTGAACATGATACGCCAAGTTTCTGTGAAAAAAAAATCTTAATAAATTTTGTATGTGTTTGGTGGATGAATATTTTAGAAAGATGAACGGTGTAATTTTACATGTTACTAATCATATTGAATTGTCCTGTGATAATTAATAATTTTCACCAATTGTAAATATTGCACAATAATTGAAAATATCAAAAGTTTTATGCGCATTTAGTGATGACGTTGTAAAATGTACAAAAAAATAAATCAATATCGCAGATCTATACCATGTTCCATATTCAAAATAATAAATTTTATTTTAACTAGCTGTTCCCGCGACTTCGTCTGCGTGGAATTTAACTTTATTTTCTAAAATAAAAGTAGCCTAAGTTACTCCTTAATACATCAGCTACCTGCCGAAATAGGTCGAAAAAATAAAAAAAATATGTTAGAGGTCGACAACCCTCATCACTTAGTGTATGAAAAATAGATAGTAGCCGATTCTCAGACGTACTGAATATGCATATAAAATTTCATAAATATCAGTCAAGAAGTTTCAGAGGAGTGTAGTAACTAACATTGTGAAACGAGAATTTTATTTAAAAGAATTACATTTCTCTTATGACTACAGATTACACACAATATCGAACAACAGTAATTCTTAAGGACTATACTAAATCTATAATAATAGGGTTATTTATATATGTTTCTTTATTTTCAGATTTGATAATTATATGGTGGCTATGGTGAACAAAAACTTACTACCACTTCAGATATCTGTGCCTTGCATTGGTGATTTTCATTATTTATCCAGAGGTTTAAAATGGAATTTAGAGTTTCTTTTATTTAGTAAGTAAATTAAATTAGTTTATTAATAATATATTAATTAGTAGTTAATATATTTTATCCCACATACTCTATATTTATTGACAGATAATCTATTTTAATAAGAGCAACACACAAGTTTCTTGCTTATTCTTCTTGTGATGAATCTGCATTCCGAATAAGCGGTAGAATAAAAAAACTTGACTATTCAAAAGTGCTTATATTAAGTTTTTTCAATAAAGATTGTTTCTATTTCTATTTCTATTTTCAACTGGTCTTTGTATATAAACTCTTATTCTAACATTTGAGTTGTATGCATGGCGTAGCTCAGTACTAGAGCCTACCGCAATTACTCGAATATACTTTAATTGCTATTGATTTGTACACGATTTGCATGTCTTTGAATTTCATCAACATTTGCGGGTGCCTATACCTCGGTGATAGTAGAGTCTACTTCTAAAACTCAATGTTTACTATCAATTTTAAATTACTTATGTTTTACATAGTACTTTTAGCAGTAATGGCGTTCAAATCATAGGCGATTAGTATCCTCGCCTTTTATATAAGTCACCTCAAGTTTGAAAAAACTTAGTTGTACAGTTCTTTACAGTTTGGTCAATAGTATATTCTCGATTTAACAATTGTTGGAAATGAACATGTCTAAATTGTATCGTTATATAACTGAGGACCACTACAATTACAATCACGCTCATACAGAATTGTTATAGTCCATGAAACTAAAGAAATCTAATTGTAATGATCTTTTTAGCCAGTCCGTGGAGCCCGTGGGAGAATTGTTGGCAACTTCGCGAATGTTACAAAGATAATTCAAAACGAATGGTTTTGGCACGACAGCTTGAAAAACAGATAATGACATTAGCGCTTATAAATTTCCTACTTGCGCCTCTTATACAGGCCTGGCAGATATTATACTTCTTCTTCAATTATGCGGAGGTTAGTTTTGTATATTAATTACTACCTACTCGCCCCGCCTTCGTGCGGGTGTACAAAAACCTACCTATTAAAAAAAACCGCTTCAAAATCCGTTGCGTAGTTTTAAAGATTTTAAAGACAGCGACTTTGTTTTATCCTTTGTTATGATAATGATTTATCCCCATGCATGATTAAATCTTGAAGAGAGAAATCAACAGATTGAAATGTATATAACATTATTGTTAATTTACACAAAGTTTTGGTACGAAAAATAGCTAACTTTAAATACACTACAAATTAAAATGTGTAATAACACTAATTTCTTTATGTATACATCATTTATATTGTTTATAGGTTTGAAGACATCAAAGAATTGTACATATCTTTTCTAAGAACAACTTTGTAATCTAAAAAAGAAAAAACAATAAACAATAAACAACCTTGTTTAGACGTAATTGTATCATTTGAGATTCGTCTGCGTAGTAGTCTATTACGTAGTAATTCTGCGTACCAATCTCTAAAATCAAACAATACATATTACTCATCTGTATAACTTATGATAAGATATCTAAGATATCTATTGTCTTGTTCATAAGCCCTTGACCGAAAAGTCTGTTTTGGTTTTCTCAGTTGATAAAGCGTTCACCTGGCTCGCTCGGGCTGCGCACGTGGTCTTTGTACGCGCGCGTCACTTTGCGTCACTTTAACGAGTTGGAGCATGAGCTGAGAGATCGTCTGAACCGCGCGCATAAACCTGCAACCAAATACCTGGCCAGCTTCATGTCGCCGATCACGAGCGTTGTCGCCAAGTTAGTCGTTGTTTCTTTATAATTAAAAATGTCTAGTTTTTAAGAAAAAGTACTGATAGAGTATTAAAACACAGAGATAGAGAGAAATGACGCTTTTACCCTTGGTTTGTATTAAAACTAAACATATCATGACGACCCCGGTGGTCTAGCGGTCAAGCACACCGCTTTACGACCGATGGTCGCGGGTTCGATTCCTCGCACGGCACAAACATTTTATTAGAAAAAGTCAAAGGGTCCCTTATGAGAATGGGTACAATAATATACCAAAAAGTATACTAAAATTAATTTTGTATACATTCAAAAAATCCTTTAAAACATTTGTTGAGTATAGCCTATTTACTCACTAAACGATTACTTAAGAACGTGCAATAGTTGTTCATGCACATGATTTTCATTCAGATAATAAACATAGATCTATAAAAGTAATGTAAATACTGACTTTAAAAAAAAATATTGAGTTTCTGTCCAGTTCTTTCTCAATTGAATCTCTATTCTGACAGTAGTTAAAAAATTTGATATTCATAAGCCGCTATAACGTCTTACATGAATAAATGATTTGTGATTTGAGTTCAAATAATTTAAAATGATTGATTCAGCTCAGATTTGTGTGCACAATGAATTGAATTTTGATGTATAATTTTCCAGGAACATCGTGTTTGTCGCGGCCAGCGTGCTGGGTGTATTGGTGGTGCTCTCAGTGTATGATGAAGACGTTCTGGCTGTGGAGCATGTGCTCACCATTATTACAATATTGGGCTGTGTAGTGGCTATAGCAAGGTGATGATCTTATCTATACATCTATACATATAAATAAAATTGGAGTGTCTGTTTGTAATATTGAAATAACCGTTTTTTACTGCATGCATATGAATATAAATAAGAAACATACTCCGAAAAACCACTTTTTAAAATTTTTGTCTGTCTGTCTGTCGTTCTGTTTGTTCCGACTAATCTCTGTAAAGGCTGAACCGATTTTAACGGGACTTTTTTGGCAGGTAGCTGATGTAATAAGGAGTAACTTATGCTACTTTTAATTTTGAAAAATAAAGTTAAATTCCACGCGGACGAAGTCGCGGGTACAGCTAGTTATTAATATTATAAACGCGAAAGTTTGTGAGTATGGATGTTTGTTACTGTTTAACTTAAAAACTACGGACCGGATTTTCATGAACCTTTACAGTAATAGACTATATTACTGTAAAGGTCAGAATAACACATAGGCTATATATTATATTGAAAGTTAACGCGGGTAAAATCACGGGCACAGCTAGTCTTAAATAAATGTACAATAGCGACCTTAATGCCCTATGGTATTCTCTACCAGCTAATCATTGGGTGAAAACAGAAAGTGGTTGAAGGGCAGTAATAGGAAAAGAAATATAAGAAAATGTACACTTTTGGTTTACATCTCTACTATGCCATAAAATAATGCTATCAGTACCATGATTGCGTTCCTTTTCTTTCTCGTGGGAGCTTAAATAAGGTCGTTAAGGTCAATTAGTTGGCGGTTACTCCCTATTACATCAGCTACCCGCCAAAAAAAGTCCCGTCAAAATCGGTCCAGCCATTTCAGAGATTAGCCGGAACAAACAGACAGGCAGACTAAAATTGTAATAAATGTTATTTTGGTGTACCGTATTTATATTCATATGCATGTAGTAAAAAACGGTTATTTCAATGATTACAAACAGACACTCTAATTTTAGTTAGATATATGTATAGATATATAATATTGTTTGTAATATTTTCGATATGAATATTGATTTTATCTATCTATCTTAACGTATGCTGCAGGGCTCTGATTGGTGAAGAAGACCGTCTGGGCGCTGGCTGTACAGGACCGGCTCGCGGCGAGGAGCTGTTCGTGCAGGTCCTCGGTCACGTGCACTACTTGCCAGCAGCGTGGCGCGGCCGGGCACACACCAAAAATGTTGCTGCACTCTTTCAACAGTTGTTCCAATTTAGAGCTGTAAGTTCATTTTATTAAAGTTATAAAACTTGTAAACTTAAATTCCACCGGACGAAGTCGCAGGAACAGCTAGTAGTAAATCTATATATATAACTCAAAGGTGACTGACATAGTGATCTATCAAGGAACAGTCCAAACCACTGGATGGATTTGGCATGCAGGTAGATGTTATGACGTAGGCATCCGCTAAGAAAGGATTTGGATTAATTCTACCCCCAAGGGGATGAAAGTTTGTAGGAAACTTTGTCAATTTTTAACCGATCGGTCTGAGACTTTGCATGCATAATCCCCTAAAAAAAGATTTTGATAAATTTCACCCGTAAGGGGATAAATTAACGCGAGCGAAGCCGCGGGCAAAAGCTAGTTATAATATAAATACTGTAATGTAGCCCTTATTCTCCACTTTTAAACACATTTTTTATGGAAATGTTGGTTGTCCAAATTATTATATCTCAATAATATTATATACGCGTAAGTTTGTAAGTATGGATGTTTGTTACTCTTTCACGCAAGAATACTGAACGGATTTTGATGACATTTTACAGTAATATAGCTTATGCATCAGAATAAGATATAGGTTATATACAAATTTATATATTGAAATTTAACGCTGGTGAAATCGCGGGTACATCTAGTATACAATACATTTCTTTTGAATATTTTTATTAATTGCACAATTGTTGACTTTAAGAAAAATCTTTATTAGTCTCAAATAATAAACTATTACAATTGCTGCTTATAATAAAATTTAAAAGTATGAATCAAGACCAAAATCATTACCAAATTATTTATAACTGACAGTAGCTAATGTCACGTTATGAAATAATGTTGCCATATTTAAAGTAATAGTGATGCGTTCAGTTCTCGGTCAGATGAATGAACAATGAGTGTGAATAGTTAATCATTTCAAACTACAAAATAATATTATTTCTATTTTACAATAAAGTTGTATGAAAGTGCTCTGATATAAGTTACTAGTGTTATGTAACTACAAACAGTTATTTGACGGCTTATTACAAAGCGCGCTGTGGCACTAGTAGCCACTAGTGCCAACACAGATCAACGTCGCGAGCGTCGGTCGTCATTTTGTTCGTAATTCGGCTTCTAACCTCTGGTCTGAGAGCACGAATGCTTTCTTTTGCGCTCACACTGTTTTGTTATTGTTTTTGACAAATTTTTCCTTCTGTTGTGTTTGTTGTAATAGTTGTAATAGTGTATATTGTATATTTGCTATATTGTTTCGTACCAATGTATCCTCCTCATGGATGGATGGAAATGGATCCTCAACCATGCATGTCAAGCCAAAGCTTGTCTCCAAGAAAGAAGAGACCACGGATTGCTTTAAGCGTTACCGAAAAACTTATGATACAAAACGTCTACAAACACGTATTTGAGGAGAAAGTTGCATCACTATTACCTATTGAGGCTCCCGAAAAAAAATAATGTATTTCAAAAACAGCTAACTTTTTGGGAATTGGTGTGACCTCAGTCTACAATGTATTAAAAGAATACAAAGAAAATGAACAATTTAACTCTCTGGAGAAACGTGGACCAAAACACTGTTTCAAAGATAAATTATTGTCAATTTTTCAGACAGATTTATAATTAATGTCACCGAAAGCAACAATGATTTTTTTATCTGATGATGAATAAAAACAAATTTTGTAATAAGCCAAGTTTCTTATTTTTATTACCTAACTATATTATGTTAGATATTTTATACATCTATAGTTTTAACTACATGATGTATTGTAAATAGGACAGTCTTAAAAGTTTCCTCGCAATTTTTTTCTTCATGTTTCAAATACTCTGTATTCAGTATAGGTAGATACTAGAGGAACATAGTTGTCGAAAACTTGTTGGTATGTATAAAGCACAGCTAAAATTCGAACCCCGTACCCGATATCGGCAGTTCGTAACACTAACTATTCACTAGACTAGACAATTGAGGCAATTTCATTAATTCAGGATTCTTTTCAATTATTCACTTTGTCACAACACTATTTTTGTTTTATCAAATACTGACAACACAGTAAACGTCAGTTGACTTCGTCTAATTAAAAATACGACTATAGCTCTCTGCTATTCTGTTATAGCCTTTATTAGTAAATTAAATTCATAAATTATTTTTTCAGTGTAGTACATTTTAGTCGCTTATGAATGCAAAATTTTTTGTATTAATATTTATATTTTTCTCTACATCATCATCATCATCATCATCATCATCATCTGCTTCTTCCTTGTCCCATTTATTTGGAGTCGGCGTAATATGTTTTTCGCTTCCATTCATCCCTGTTCGCAGTCATCGCGTTATTTACTTCCTTTCTTACTATATCATCTTTCACACAGTCCATCCATCTTTTTTTTGGCCTTTCTTTACCCTTATAACCATCCACATTCATATACACCTTTCCTAAAATATTATCCTCGTTCCTACGCATTACATGTCCATACCATGATAGAGATTCTGTTATAGCCTTTATTAGTAAATTAAATTCATAAATTATTTATTCATGTAGGACAATTTAGTCGCTTATGAATGCAAAATTTTGTGTATTAATATTTATATTTTTCTCTACCATCTGTATAAATTATAGTTCAATATTTGTGGAGATACACGAAACGCCATGATGGTATTTTCACATCTCTAATAATATTTTTATTCTTAAAACAAATGAATGCAAAGCGCATTCGAAATTTAAAATAATTACAAAAGATTTTTTATGTCTCGTACACATCCAGTTGAGTATACAAATTTAATTGAGCAGTACTGGTAAAAAACTAACTTAATTTATATTTCTTTACGTCAGTTAAATTACTATGTGTACTTATGTAGGTATCTGTTATTGGGAAGTTTCTGAAATGTTACGTCGAAGCAGCAGTACTTTTAATTTATTCCTTTTTCAAATTACACTCCACATAAATTGCGTCGCTGTACATTCACGTGTGGTCGTCTCAGTCGCCTCGAACAAAGAAAGAGCAGCTCGCTCCTTCCTTGTTCCCGGCCTCTTTATCTCTATTCCTATTGGTAGCGGCATAATCGTGACGCCACCAACATCACGTGACTTACTATAGTTTTAAATGAATGAAATGTAAGTAACAAATTAGTCCACCGAGAGTTCTTTATGTATTGAAGTTAACACTATATCTAACATTAAGTGAAAATCCCGTTGATGAACTACTACAGCCATGCACGTCCGTTATTTTCGTTCTGTTTTATTTCTGTATACAGGTATACATCATCTTCGAGGTCCTCAGTCCTCTGCTGTGTCCGTTCGTGTTGTTTTCGTTGCGGTCGCGTGCACTGGACATAGTGGACTTCTATCGCAACTTCACAGTTAATGTGGTCGGCATTGGTGACGTCTGCTCATTCGCACAGGTAATTTTGCGTTGTATTCTTTTATCCGGAAGATATGTATGTCATTGGCCTGGCCAGTGTTATCTGATATTAATATGACATAGATATACAAATTCGTATTTAGTGTTATCGATCCACGAGTTGTTGACAATGAATTGATAATACCATTGATAATTTTAGTAAATATTAGGTCGTTCGGAAAGTAATTTAGTTTTTTCCTGACAGAGGATTCAATTCAATTTAATTTTTTGCAACCGACTTCACACTAAGCCGTATAATTTGTATTCAATTCAATTCAATTCAAAATATCTTTATTCATGTAGGTCTATTACAGACTCTTATGATATGTCAAATCTACCGTCAGTTCGGAATGATTTCGAGATGAGAAGAACTGACAAGAAACTCAGCTCGTATTTTTTTTTAATGTTGTACATATTTACAATAATACTATTTCATTTAAATTCAAATTTGGGAGAATAGAGTGACCAACAGCATATGCTATATAAAAAAAAATAAAAAAAATAAAAAAATCTAATCAGTGTTCGCACCCTGACCGAAGCTTGTGTGTGAAAAATTCTAATTAATTATACGCAGTAGTTTTCGATTGGTGCCCTTTTAAAAACGGAAAGCAATAAGCAGCATTTTCGACATATCTTACTGTTTTACTACAGAAAGGGCAAAAATGCTGTTCAAGCCAGAAAGAAATTGACAAATGTGTGTGGAGAAGGTGTGTGAACAGTACGCCAGTGCCAGAACTGGTTCGCTAAATTTTGATCCGGCAATTTTGATGTCTCTTTAGATAAAATATTTATATCATATATGATGTTATAATAGTTTTCATCAATCGATAATATAAGTTCATGTATTGGGAAGGAACTGGCTTCTGTTATACGGCTAATGGTAGTTCAGGACTACACAGAAATACTGATAGAATTGATATTAATATAATAATAATAATATAATATCTCAGGACAATTCACACAGCGCCATCTAGACACAAGCTAAGCTTGTGTTATTGGTACTAGACAACTGATATAAATACATGGATACATTTTTTTTGTATAAATAAATACATATTATACATAGAAAACACCCAGACCGATACCAACAATCATACTCATGAATACAAATATTTGTCCCACGGTACAAATATTTAGGAATCGAACCCACGACCATCGGATAGTAAAGCGGTGGTTTAGCACCACTAAACCACCAAGGCTGTCTATGTTTTGAAAGTGTACCTATTGTATAAATAATATTGTAACGATCCTTCTGAATTAAATAAAGATTATTATTATTCCTCTCTTTATCGTCTCCCTCTCTCAACTTATTGTTATTATAATTTCTTTTTGTCTCAGCTTTTGCTGGTTTTATTATTATTATTTTTATCCAAAAATTATTATTATTATTATTAATATTATGCTATGTGTATATTCAGATTGTAGTGTCCAGTGACAGCCCTAGTCAAGATGTCATGATTTTAATGTAACAAACCACTTTTTTTTTTTAAACCATATCGTGTTGAATCACTAAACTGCACTAATATATATTTGTTATGCTTCTTATGTCTTTAGCTGGACATTCGTCGTCACGGACATCCTGATTGGCAGACCGTTGGCAAGATAGGAAAAGTGAAGGGCGCCAAAACTCAATACCACCAGGGCGAAGGTGGAAAGACCGAGTTGTCGCTGGTTGCCTTTTCATGTCGGCATCCTGGCTGGCAGCCTGCTGAACCAGCGCAGAGGCAGTTCCTGCGATCGCTCAGGCAGAGCATGCACCATGCGATCCCTGTCAATAATCCACTGGTTAGTATATTTATATACACGTTTTTTACCGCAAAGATTAATTATATTTTAAACTAGCTGTACCCGTGACTTTGTCCGCGTATTGTAGTGACCTTAACCGAAATGATTATTTTTTATACCTTTTAGCTATACTCGGGACTACGACCGCGTATTATAGTGACCAAATAAAGAAAGAATATTCAATAATCTATCCTAAAGAAAAAAGTTTCATCGTGCTAATTTCAAATATATCGAATTTCCATACATTCCTTTATCCCCTATTTTATTATACGCCTTTAGGGTAACATTTTTACAAACTTTGTCTGTCATATTTATTTATATTTAATCAACAGCCTAAAAAATAAGTTTCAACCCCTTAACACGCATTATTTCGTATTAAAAAGTAGCCTATGTTCTTTCTCAGGGTCCAGACTCTAGACACTGAGAATCTCTGTACTCCAGAGTTTCTGTGTACCAAATTTCATTTATATCGCTTTAGTAGTTTCGGCGTGAAAGCGAGACAAACAGAGTTATTTTCGCAATTATAATATTTGTAAGGATTTGTACTTTAAGTATGTTTAAATTAAAATCGGTCAATAAATATTATTTTATATGGCAATATTAAGAACTTAGTCTTGCTAGTATAAAAACTTAGACTAAGTAACTTTAAATATATCATGATATATTCATTTTATAGCTTTTTTTCTATTTTCTCTAATTCTGTTGGCCGCAGCTGGCCTTCACAGCTTCACCGGACGTTAGGGGGCGAGTGCAGATGGCACTCCAAACCAAGGAGAGACTTATGGAGCGGCTGAAGGGCAACTCCTGACTGGATACGACTTTAGTCTGAGGGCACCACTAGGGGTTCGAACCTCAGCTCTGGCCGTCGTAATTAAAAGTAAAAAGTAAAAAGTAAATGAGATGAAATTTTATAGCAACATTATCACAATACTTATGAATAAAATTTATTTTACTCGAGTTGATTTCGTAGAACTAATCTTTTAACCTATTTTTGTACTTGTAATTTAATGTATCAATAATCATTTTTAGAGACTTATATTTCAATATATGTAGTGACAAATTTGTATTACATAACTTTATTAAAGAAATCTAAATTTGTATTACATAACTTTATTAAAGAAATCTATCAATTATTTTTATAGAACAAAACCATGCTGGGCTCGTACATCCAACAGAGTATTTTTGGTGCTAACACTCCCCTGCCTGCCGTACTGTCGTATTATCAGCAACAGAGGCCTACCTACAAGTTGCCAGTGAGTATTGAACTATGATATAATATATGTATCTATTATTTTTTTTTATATGTACGTTATTCTGTGAAGTTTGGTTTCTTAAAATGTACTACAATTTAATAATATATGTTATTGACTACTAGCTGTCCCGGCAAACGTTGTTTTGCTATATAAGTTAATAATGCTATAAAAAAATTGGGGTTGGTGATAGAAGGGTGAAAATTTAGGGTTGTATGTATTTTTAATGACACAATAAAAAAATTTGCTTAAAAATTAAAAAAATAATCAGTTCTAACATACACAACACAACAAACGGTTACAACTCTTGTTAAAAAAAAGGTTACAACTCTTGTTACTTAGGGGTATGAAAATTATATAGTAGACAATTATTAGATTTACTGAATATGCATATAAAATTTCATAAAAATAGATTAGGCTGTTTGGGAACTGCCAATAATGTGACACGAGAATTTTATATATAAGAAGATATTGTAAATATTATTTAAATAAAATTCTCGTGTCAGCAGCTTGATCGCAGTAAATTGTTAGTAGCTTTTAAATAGTTTGATTCATTTTTATGAAATTTTATATGCATATTTAGTAAGTTTAATATTAACATTATTTACTGAGATGTTTTGTGTTGTATATTATATAGTAGTTTTTTAAATATTATATTTTTGTAAAATTTATTATTATTATATAAAATAAAGTTGCTTTTGCTGTTCTTATGTATGTTTAAATTTTTAAATTTATGGAATGGGTATTGAAGTGGTTTTTTAAATAGATGGAGTGATTTTAGAGGGAGGTTTATGTATATAATATATGTACACCGGGAAAAGTCGGGGTAAGTGGTGAGTAACAAAGAATTTTAAAATTTTACAATTATTCCTAACTAATTAATTAGTGGCTTCATTATACCGAGGATTGATATTTTTGTGCCGTTATAAATTTTAAAGTGGAATCGTAAATCAAGATGTAACAGTTAATGGAAGGAAGCGTTTTGGGATCGGTCTTGCATTTGATTTTTACTGCTGACCTACCCACAATGAACAACATCACAACCAGTTCTACATACGCTGATGATACGGCCCTTCTGTTTGTCCACGAGACGGCATCGACAAACCTCCAAAGACATCTGACTCTAGTCGAGCAGTGGTTTGAAAAGTGGCGCATAAGAGCGAACAAAAGCAAATCTGTACAAGTAACCTTTACGTTATAGTATATGTACACCGGGCGAACCCGGGGCGAGTGACTAGTATCGAATAATTCTAAAATTTTACAATTATTCCTAACTAACTTAACTTAACTTAACTTAGCGGCTTCATCATACCGAGGGTTGAAATTTTTGTGCCGTCATAAATTTTAAAGTGGAGTCGCTTTTTTTCGGTTCGTGCTGCTTGAAATGATGAATATATGATTCGCTGTTCGTGCGCGATGCGGCCGATCCCGTGTCGACTTCCGTGCGAGTGTTTCTGTCGTGGGTGCTCGTGGCGACCTCGCCGCGCTGCGATCGTTCGGCCGTGACCGGTGATCGCGAGGGGTCCTCCTCCGTTCGCGTGTCGCCGCGTCGGGGGCGCGTCCTCGGTCGTCGCCGCCGTTCCGTTCGGGGCGCGTCCGCCGCTCGCGCGATCCCGGAGTCGACGATCCGCAGGGTCGCGGTCCGTCGCTCCGCGGCCGCTACGATCCGGCTCCCGGCCGCCCCCGCCGCCCGGATCGTCGTCCGGCCGATCCGCCGCGTGCCGCGCTCCCCGCGGCCGGTCGCCCTCCGCCGCTCCGCCGCACTACGCGTACAACATATGAACTTCCTCTATACCGCTACCGCCGTCACGTTCACTTCATCGCCATCGACCAAAAACCTCGACTCTACAAAATGATACTAAAGATGACACTATCTCCACCGCCAAATTGTATATCAGGAATTTATCGCCCTCCGCAAATAATCTCCGTCCTACGATATCGACTCTCAAATCTCAACCTGCACACCGACCGATCTCCCATGTTTTCTTCTGAACCCTTAAACTGACAGTCCCGAATTCCGCTACAACTGCAATAATATTTTGGTCGACCCCCTAACGACATTGTCTGAACCTATGTCTTTCTGCAAGCACTGAGTTGCAGATGCTTACGTAATAACTCCACGTCGTTGTAGGTAAAATTCAAAGGTTTCCTTAAATCAACTAGGTTTGAAAACAATTCATATACTTCGTCTCTCATCACCGATATCAGCATGGGTAATTTCAGTTCTGGTTTCACTTCATTTACAACAAAATACATGTCCAGTCTTTCTACACATGCCAACCATGTGCCGCTTGCGACATTAAATTCACACACTCTGCCCACAAACATTTTCCTTTATATTTAACTAGCTACGAGCTTCGCACAGGTGTATACATATTATATATATAAACCTTTCTCTAAAATTACTGTATCTATTTAAAAAAGATTATAGTATTTATAATTTTTAAAACTATTTTGCACTTCCGCGTAATTTATACTATAATTCACATCACCAATGTAATATTTTATAGGATCTTCTAGAATTACTGTATCTATTTAAAAAAACGCTTCAAAATCCGTTGCGTAGGTTTAAATTATTAAATAAAATTAAAAATTTTATATTAAGATTTAAATATACATAGGGACAGACAGCGACAGCGACTTTGTTTCATACTATATAATGATTATAGTACCTACAATTTTTAAATCTATTTTGCACTTCCGCGTAATTTATTCTATAATTCACGTCTCCAATGTAGTATTTTATAGAGAGCGAAATATAACAATTACAAGCACGAGCGTTGAACACATAAGTTTGATGTGTTTAACGTACCCTCACATAGATACTTAATCTACCGTCTACTACAGAAACCAGGTTTGGTTTCATATCGTAAAACATTATCGTCGCTAAAATAGGTTAGTCGTTATAATCGAAGTCGTCGTATCGTCTCCCGTAGGATCTAATACGGAGTAACTTAGTCTACTTTTATTTTAGATTTTTTTTTATTTTACAAAAATAAAGTTGCAATTTAACTTTATTTTTCTAAAATTAAAACTTGCGGGTACAACTAGTATGTTGGACTCCAGTCTCTGCAATTAGCCTCTCATTCGGGCCGTTGTGCGTGGGGTACAGCTAGTAATATTAATAATAAAATACTATTACTCCCCCAGGATATGGACGAGACAAGTGATGAAGACGAAGCACCGTCCCCCGGCACTATGAGGTCTGGTTCGCAGCCGCAGTCATTCGGCCTCGCCGGCATTGGTTCAGTGCTCGGATCGAGCGCTCTCGGCCTGGAGACAGCCGAGCCCTCCGACAACACACGTGACATGTCCGTCAGTACGCTGCACTTGTACGACTTGCATTTGTCACAGGTTAGTACTATATTACCCTGTTTCCTATACTATATTAAAACCTTGAAGAAATATTTGTATAGATTTATTATCACAAAATATTCTTACATTTGTAAAATAAATATACACATATATTTATAACTATATACATATGTGTAGCTAGTATTAAAGAATCATACTGTTTCCAAAAGGAAACTCAATGATAATTAGTTGTTATCTGATTGAACAGAGATTAAGTGCGTAACGGCTTCTATGTTGATTGACGTATGCCTAATCCTTGTTAATGTAAATCTAATTCAAACGTTATTTATTTAAAAGAGCAACACACAAGTCTCCTTCTCATTCTTCTTGTGATGATACTGGATTTCGAATTCGTGGTAGAGTAAAAAAATGTGACTATTCAAAAGTGGTTATATTAAGTTTTGAATAAAGATTATTTTTATTTATCTGGAGTTGCAAGTGTTTTTAGCCGGTAGGGAAAGCGGATTGTTAGTAATGTGGACTGATGATTTTACTGCTAGTAATATACTATGTTAAGTTGATCTCCATGTGGTTCCTTCTAGAAACCATCGTGATAAATCCTTGGGGAATTGTCACGATGTGCTAACTGACCTGACCTCATGCTCATCTTGTCATCCTCCACTTGTGCCCCGCCAGCGTAAACCGTTAACCCAGGCGGGTGCACCATTCCATAATCATCCATAAAAAATGTTCATAAAAGTCAAAGACCCGTTTGCTTCATGCTAAAATAGAACTTTAATGCATATAAATAAAATTGGAGTGTCTGTTTGTAATATTGAAATAACTGTTTTTTATGACATGAGGATGATTATGATAGGAATATAAATACGGTACAAAGACTAAAATGACTTTTATTGACATGTAGTTGATGTAATAGGAGTAACTTAGGCTTTAGGCTAGTAACTTTTATTTAAAAAAATAAAGTTCAATTCCACGCGGACGAACTCGCGGGAACAACTAGTAAATAATAAAATGAAGTAATTTATTCATGTAAGACTGTTTAGCCCGTTGAATATCAAGTTTTTTGTATTAATATTTTTTCCCTACCGTCCAGTTCAGTAAACAGATTCGATTGAGAAGAACCGGCAAGCAACTCAACTGAATTTCTTTTGTTTTCGAATGAATCAACATGTTTAAATTGCAGGATTTGGGATGATTCTAAGAGTTGTTATTCAACATATTGCAGGCTGGTCAAAGCGTGTCCGCTTGTTGTACAAACAACTGCAGTGCGAGAGTACAGGAGGAGAGCCGTTGGCCACCAAGCAGTGAGGACACGCCGCTGCTGCAACGCCCATAACACTGGCCGTCCATCTCGCCCCGCGTTGAGAAGCACCCAGTGTGGGTATAGCCACCAGTTCACAGTAATAACACGCATCCTGCTAACTTGACTCATAAAGCCATGTATTAATTAACAATTGATAATCATTACATAGTATAAAAAGTCGCTGTCGCTGTCTGTTCTATGTATGCTTAAATCTTTAAAACTACGCACTGGATTTCGAAGTAGTTTTTTTAATAGATAAGATTCAAGAGGAAGGTTTGTGTATATAATACATGTACACCCGCGAAGACGGGGCGAGTAGCTAGTATATTTATGTATTAATTTTCTTTTCTGAAAGGTAGCCTGCCGAAGATAAACTGTTTGGTATGCACAGTTTCTTAATCAGCACTATGATTACCACTATGCCTATGATATATGTCAGGGCTGTCCAACCTAGATAGGATGTAGGGCCAAGAATAACAAAAACCATTGAGTGGCCGCAAAGTTTTTAAAAACAAAATACACAATAATATTATTGTGTTATTATTGTATTAGTTTTCCATTAATTTATATTTTCCAATCCAGTTGACATTAACATCAATATTGACAGTAGCTAGACGCAGTACATAAGAGAATTTTTTTTGCTTCTAAAAGTAATTTTGGATTACAAAAAAAAATTATTATAGTTTTCCCACTATAAAAATTTTGACATTTAAAAAAAGAATTGTTAGCGGGCCGCATCAATTCAAGTTACAGGCCGCATGTGGCCTCCGGGCCATGGTTTGGGCAGCTCTGATATATATTTATATTTTCTTATTGACTAGTGTAGGACAAGTGTAATATATGGATAAGTGTTCTTAAAAGAATATAGAAAATGTCTTCTTAATAATAATAGTAATAGTCTTCGATTTTTTTTATCATTGTAATGTCGCACTTCAAATAATTATATGCAACTGACTTCAGATTAGTTGTGCAAAATAAAAAAAACTCATCTTTACACGAATTTATATATGCTATCAATGAAAATATACTATATAACGCCCTCAAATCGGGAGGTTTATTAAAGTTGATATGTAGAAATACAAATAAATAAATTATGGATATTGGATTATAGGGCTAGGCATATTGTTTGCACCATAACCTAACCGATCGTCGATAATGCTGATTGTCAGGGGCGGATCGTGAATTTGTGAGGCCCTGGACTAAATCTACTTACGGGCCTACCTAATTATATTACTTAACTAAAAAAGTACACCCACCAAAAACAGCGACCAGAAATTCCCCATTCCTTTCGATACCGCGCAATTGCATAGGTTGATTGATCTCAGGGTTGCCAACCTTATGATAGGTTTTTTAATATTCCAAATATTTTTTTATATTCTAAATATCGTTTCAGTTGAGACTAATACCCTTTTGTATCCTTGGAGCCCTGGCCTGCAGCCCGAAAAGCCCTTAGATTAGCCCTTAGGTAGATCCGTCCCTGCTGATTGTGGAATATAGTGTTATACAGATATGAAGTGTTATATTTTGGTAAAGACAACGACAGATATCGACTATTGAAATGAAGGTTTTAAAGACGCAGAAATCAACTATTATACATAAAGCCTCCCTGATCTTATTTTAATATTGTTTATCAATTGTTTTATAGTTCATACATGACTTTCACTATTTACATACATATTATAGCGGTTATAATTTTATGGCAAATATATCCTATACTCCTGATATCCTGCTATGAAACGAATAGTCTTATGAATATTAATGAAAATCTAATCTATACTTGGCTTTAGATTATTTACTAATTCTATATTTTTCTACTGTTTTACTAACGTAGCCGATTGTATGAGCGTTTACGTTAAAAATTGCCTTAGTATATGTGATGTAAATTCAGAGTATGGGTATATATGGTATGTAAATAGCATATTATGCGCCAAGAGAGCATTATTGCGTGTTGCTGTAACTGGAGCTATTTGGATGTTCACTGACAACTGTATTCGTGAATGGATTGGTACGTGAGGTAAACCTAATGTATAGCTTGGATTGATTGACGACTCCCTAAAGCATTTTAATATTCAACGTGTACTTCAATATGAGGCAAAAGTTTTTTTAACAGTAACAATTTTCTGTTGTATATATCGGTTTGTAGCTGTAGATATAGATATATTAGATTCTGAATATTGTAGCAGCTTTAATTAAACAAAAGCTTAAGAGGTCTATTTTCTAATTTATAATATATGTATTGTTAAGATGAAATTGTTATTATAATCAATAGCTTAACAATTTATCTTAATATTTTTCTTTTTAATTTTTTTGTAATTTGTGTTATACAGTTTTTTTCTGTTTTTATAATGTAAATCTAACATTGGTTTATTTAACAAAATCACTATATGAAACAGATATTTATTCAGCTATTACAATATCGGTTACTGATGATTATTATAATTAATCGAATTTGGTGTTATTTTGTCCATTTCACTACTTGATGCATTTATATTGTGTTTTCCAAAACCGGTACCAAGCTATATCCGACCTCTATTCAACGCCTGATGACGCCTCGTTCAGAGGCGAAACACGTGTCGCGGTATCGGTGTAGACTCAATAACGGTCGGAATTTGATCGCAACTAGAGAAGGTCGTAACGGTAGTCAAGCTTCCACACCGAACATTTGTCGTGTCACACATGCTAATTGTAGCGGAATTAAACAAAATAATATAATTTCATCAAGTAGTAAGAATATTGCTTAGTTGAATCGTGATATCAGTTATACAATTACGGAATAGACCTCGCTTTTACTTATAGTTGTATTAATAAAGTATAAAATGCTTTAGCGCGCTGTCAGTCGTGTAAAAATCAAGTAGTTAAGATGAGTTTAAAGATAGGAGTAGTTTAAAGTTGGCCTGTCAGTGAATAAGATAAAATGTGCGGGGTAGTGATACACGTTAGTAACTTAGATATATACTATACTATTGTATTTCTCAAAACTTTTTGTCATCCCTTTACTAAATGTACGCACATATATTTTGAAATTTCTTGTGGGCCGTTACCGAAGCCAATTTTCTACAATTTATAAATAAAAATGCTGTGAAAATTTTGAAAAAAATAGTTGTAATATGCATACGCAATTAGAAGGTATCGTTGATTTAAATCTGAATATAAGTATATTCATATGTGTAATATAAACGTATATACATTTCATAAATTAAGTGGATGTTGCTGGATAAAAAAGTACAACTCGTAATAAGCAATTAACTTTTTAACAATATTTATGTTTCGTATTGAATGTGTAGAGTTAGGTCTCCCAAAGATTTCTAAATTTTCTTTCCATACGCACTTGTAATATATAACGAGCAATAACTTACTATTACGTGATAGTAGTGCGTAGATAACGGATATACTCTGATCACTTATATATATTTAATAATATATTTGTAATTTAATTAACATTGCGCGTCTCTAATATATTATGAATGAATTGCTGACAATGTTACGATTTTGTCTTATGTTTTTCTAAACTTTTGCTCAGTACAAACAAATGATACAATTGAGCAAAACTAAGGGTGTTGAATTTGAGTATGGATCAGAAAACAATATTCTTTTTAATTACTTTTAAATTAAATTTTGAAACGTTAAATTTTACATGTGCAGTTTCGAAGATAATCTTTTATGAGTGTGTAAACTTTAAAACAAACATTTCGACAAATTGATGTTGTGTATAGGGTAAGCGAACATATACATATTTGTATTATATTAGTACCTATAAGAATTTTGCTATAACTTTCATTATAAATTTAAAAATCTTAATGCGTGTTATATTAATTTATGTGAAAAAGATTACGTCCTTTTTACATAATATTAAATACCACGTTAAATTATAGGTGATCTACGTGTGATACTTTATAACTTAAAGTAAATTTTTATATCATTATTAGCAATCTATATTTACAAAGTTCAAATTCACGACTAATTTAAAAATACAGCAATGCAAATAATTTTACTTACTATACATTACATTTATGATGATTTTTATCATCTTTATTGTAGTCTGGACTTGTTCTTGATTGTATGTGATAAATTTAACGCCTACGTCCGATGTCTATGTATAAAAAAAGAAAAAAGCATATACAAAAATATTGATTTAGCTACTTCAATTTAAAAAAGAAAATTGTAACTTACATTAACGGTGAGTCGGATAATTGCAGATTTACTAAGTTAATTGCAAGCTTGCTATTATATGCTACATTGGTAGTAGAAATTGCCAGTAATATGGTAAACAATAAGAATGATTTTTGAAGCATTCTTCTCCGAATGTAATTCTAAGACTAAAGTTTTAAGTCAACGTCGTGGTTAGGGAGACATTGTGGTGTAAATGTATAATTTATTTTAATGAAAATCACATTTAATATATTGTTAATAGCTACTTTTGTGACACTATTCAACATATATAGGTAATAACTAAACATTATAGGGTTAAAATTTTAGTTTCAGAATACGATTTTGAGAATATTCAAACGGCATTACGAACTAAGCAAATCGTAATATGATAGGCTACAATTGCCAAACTGTTCACGCCCGCCGTTTTAGCTATTCCTTTATAATACTTTATGGATACTAATCAGGAACGCACAAAACATAGCGAACCGAAAAGTATGATTTGTATTTGTAATTCTTACCGCTGCACTGCCAATTTATAATAATTAGATCATTAAAGACACAAAATTACTATACTTTAAATATTATTTATTAATTCAAGTACATTGCATAAGTACATTACCAGAACTTTATAAGGAAAAGATTTTTAGAATGGCCTTGATCTTGATTTATCACTTATCATCATTGAGGTCATAGTCCTTGTATAGTCTAAAAAAATGATTTTAGGTTCACCATAAAAACTAGTAATTATAGAATTTTAGAGGGTAGTTGATATTACAAATAATAAAATTAATAATATTACATCACAATCATAGTGCAATATAACATTACATTTCATTTACCATCGTCTCAAAATAAAAAGGAAAATATAAAAAAAATAGACCTAC